GGGACTAACATATGGTTCAATTTTATTTCAATAATGCGCTTGCGTGTAGGGGTCTTTAGCAATAGGAGGAAACCGAAGGACCCGGAGAAAACCCACGAGGTTGGACAGGCGACCCTACTCCTTGTCACGTACAACCGGGGAATCGAAACCAGAAACCACGACAGTTGACTCAATGACAGACCTTATGATACATCTTGCACACGCTAACCATTCGGACATCCACCCCGCCCCCACCAATCCCCTTACAAGCTGCAGTTAGGTTATCTAAATAAGCTTTAAAAGTAAATGTGGCAGGTCGCCTTTAATAATATTTGAGAGCAAATAGAATAAATAATGTAGATATTCGAAAATATTCGAATATGGTGATTGCTATTCGAATATTCGAATATTATATTCGACGAGCGAATATTCGAATATTCGTGCCGAACACTAATTTTTGGTCCAAGTCTGTTTACAGTCGGTCCTGGTTTTAATACATTATGGATTTACGCCTCATTACCCCTTTATTATAAAACAAAAGGGACCCAGTATCGTTTAATTATAATTCAGGAGCTAGAAAAGACTTCATTAACATCTCGAGTACAAAAGTTTTTAGGTCTGACATTAGTAGATATGTTAACGGCAACCACCAAAACCCAACTCTTAACTCAACCGGGGGTGGGGTGGGGGCACTGTTCATATTACCGCCCGATATGGGTAAATTAAGGAGATTAAACTACTTATAAGTCGATCAAAGATCACCACACCATGCACTTCTCCACTGCAAACAAGCACGACAGGGGTGTTGTGTCAAACGGTTCCTTGAGACCCTTTGTGGCAATATGAATCCTTCTTAGTTTTGGAGATTAACCCCATTCTGAGTAACCATTGGTCGGCCCCCACCCAATCAACATTTAAAGTAGCTAAGTCTCTAACTCAATATCATCAAAAATCTTCGACATTGCAAACACGAATTATTTGTCAGTTCAAATCAACATTGGTCTTGTGATCTTACAGGGAAAAGATGGGCTTCTGATATCCAATATTCAAGACAAAATAAACATTTTACCATTGGTACACGAATCGTGTACCATAATGCGTTTCAGCGCCTTTTGGAACAAGGGACTCAAAGAACGCGGCTAGACATATTCCACAAGTCATGTCAAATGGTGACGCTATATTCTTATCTGGAGAGCATGCACAATAAATATCATCGGTGTAGACTGGAATAACCAGACGCTAAATACTGCTATTAATTGAGACTTCTGGCGTATTTCGCCGAACATAACTGATTAGAAATTACAGTAAAAACAGAAACGGTTGAATGTAAATCAGTTTATATACATTCACATTACATTATTATATGCTTTGTGACCCATTTGTGTCAATTTCTAGGTCAATTTCTAGGTCCCAAATATTAGCGATTTAGCTCCTTTAATGCACATCTCCAGTACAAGCACAAAATGGGTGTCAAACTATTTCTTAGATCTGTGGCAATATGCATCCTTTTGAGTTGTAAATTGTGGGTATTAACCCCCTGCTGACTGCAAACAATTTAATCTACTAACTAGTGAAATGGCTTTAAACTGCCATAATAGTACTCTAGTCCTTCGGATGGGGAGAAAAACCCAGGTCCCGTGTACACACTGGTGAGCACGTAAAAGATCCTTTGGCAGTTGGAATTCGATATAAGAGTAGCCCGTAGCACACTGTATGGCATTAAACCCCATTTATTTTCAGATTGATCTACAAACCAGCGAGATGATTTTAAACTGTTATAATAATACTCACTAAATATAGTTTAATATATTCACTAGATTGAGTTGATTTCAACTGTTATACTTTTACTCACTGAATACAGATTGATCTATTAACTACTGAGTTGATTTTAAATGTTTTGATAACAAAAAATACTTTTTATTACTCATATTTGAAATGCGCGTTCTCAGTTTGGCATGATCACTGAAACCTGACAGGTCTTGGCGGGGTAATAACTAAACCATTATGTTTAAAGGAGTTAAACGGGTTTTTTTTCGGGAACCTTAAAATTAATGGACCACGATTGGTCGAAAAGCACATATTAATCTAAGTGTATATAAACTGAATTACATTCCTTTTTAAAAACTTTTATCTTAATTTCTAATCGGTTATGTTCGGTGAAATACGTGAGCAGTCAAAATCGAATGGCAGTCTATTGGTCATGGTTAGTCCAGTCTACATGGTTATATTTTAATCGTTTGCTTTGTAATTTGTTGATCAAGCCTTCTTGTTTCAAATGTCACTCGAGAGCTTAGGGCATCCGACGTCGAGAACTGATTTTAAAATAGCCATTGTGGTTTTTTTCGGGTACCCAGTCAAAAGTGGGATTTCTCCATAAATTTGAAAGATCGAACCACCAATTGCTTAACTTTAATTAATACATTTAGATGAAAACCTGTCTTCGTTAAAATGTTGAGACCTGTATAGCAAAACTAGTCCTAATTATTACCTGTTTTGGTATTTAGTCCAGGCCCTGAGTTCACAAAGCATTCTCAGGCTTAAGTTAAGAATTTACTCAAAATTGTTCACCTTATTTTAACTAAAATATAGCCCTTTATAAAACTGTTTTTTTGTTTTAATGTATCAAATACGTCAATAAGAAACTATGTGCAATGTTTTGAGTGTCTGGAGTAAAGATATTTCTCAAAAACAGTGATTGAAAGTTGAGTAAATTCTTAACTAAAGTCTGAGAATACTTTGTGTACTCGGGGCCTGTTATGTTTATTCGTATAGAATCAACCTGGTAATTCTTCTAATGATGTTTTCGGGGCATATCATGCAGGACAATAACTTGTGCTTTGGTTACATGTCATTACTATTGCCTCGGGTATGTCGTCTAGTGTACCAGAGAGCTTGAACCCGCACTGTGAAAATTCAATTGTTAAAAGAGCTGAATCTTTAACTCGATATTGTCCATATTAAAAACATTAAATAGAATTCAATATTGGTCCATTTCAATAAATATTAATGCTGTTATCTTGCCGTGAAAATATGGGATCCTAATATCCAATATGTAATGAACAATGACAAACAAATCCTATAAGATTATGCGGAAGTTAATATTAATGGCAGATTCACAAACGACAAAATAATAATTAATAAGCGTGTAGAATAGACTTTGTAGACGTAAAGGTGGCCGTTTATTTTGGACTTTCGCATATTTCACCGAATATAATTGATTAGAAATTACGATTTTTTTTTAAATGAATATAAATCGCTTTATATACAATCATATTACATTAATATGTGCGTTTCGACCCCCGTCTTCATTAACCCAGTCGGAGCAGAACAGTAGGACGTTAAACCCTATTTCATTTCATTTCGCTTTTAGACCAAATTAAGTTTCAGAAGATTAGAACAATACGCCCTTTAAATTAAACAATTTCTAACGATGTCTTGTATGTTAGACACTAAAACAAGATTGAGTTTTTGATACATTTGTACTAATAATTGCTGGAATTGGTGCTGTAATATATGTATGCGTAATTGGAAAACTTGACAGGTTTTATTACCAATTTACTCCACTAGAGAAATAAAATAAAAGTAAAATGAAATGGAATGAGGTTTAACGTCCTACTGTTCTAATGAGGCCGGGCCTACAATATACGGCCTACTCTTATATCCAATTCCAACTGCCAAGGGATCTTTTACGAGCACGCCAATGTGTCCATACACGGGGCCTCCGTTTCTCGTGATATCCGAACGACTAGACAGCTATCCTTGTCAGGCATAATAACATCAAAGACTACCAAATAAGAATAACATGGATGTAGACTAGAGACGTAAATATAGGTTTCCTTCTAGATATCTTGCATACTACATAAAAATAATTTTATGAAACTCTGATATATTGTTTACCAGGAATATGTTTTTTGTTCTATTCATATTTTAGATTTAAATTGAATGGGAATGAACAATTTTAATTAACAGCTTTAGAAACACATAGTAATGACATTGACATTAAAAAATCAGTATCTGATATAATGAAAATATCTCCACTGTTCGGCAACCCCCGCATGGTATGTAACCACGAAATAAAGGTGGTAAAACATGTGGTAACCTCAAAATGAGCGGGGGTATTGAGATGATGCGACATTAAAGGGGGGTAAGCCTCTAACAAATTTTTTTTCCATAACATTCGAAATTAAAAACACGAATTAGAATTCAATATTGGTCCATTTCAATCAATATTGATGTTGTAATCTTTTCGTGAAAATATGAGATCCTAATATCCAATTTTTAAGACACAAGGAACATTTTATAATTAGTACACTAGTCGTGAATTCTATGGCTGCGGGTGGCATTTGTTATGAACAAAGAAAAACGTATCCTGTCCACAGAACTTAATTGATTTATCTACATTCATATTACATTAATATGTGATTTTAGACCCATTTTGGTCTATTTATGTCCCAAAGAATAGAGACGTGCGCCCTTTAAAGGACAATGTTGGTGTCAGTGTCAGCCAATGTAACATTTTTCATTCAAATTACTTTATTCTAAGTGAAGTTGCGAGTGTGTAGTAGTAGTTTGGGCTAGATTGTTATTATCGTAGCAACGGTACTGGACAACAGCGACTAAGTCTTGATTATCCATTTTATCATCATTTTTTTAAAAAAAATCTCCTGGGTGTTCAAAATATAGACTTGTAATAGGCCGATTTAGCTCTGCAGCCTCTGACATAAATATATACAGTAATTTTAAACGATGAATAATAAATACAAAACACATAAAATACAACGTAGTCACGAGGAAATGAAATGAAATGGGGTTTAACGCCCTACTGTTCTGCTCCCACTGGGCGAATGAAGACGAGCATACGCCATACCGTGTGCCATGAGGGAAATTTTGCCCGGACAGCGGCGCTACGGCCTACCCTTATGTCAAATTCCAACTGTTATTGCAGTCAAAGGAGAGATTATTTGTGGTCTGCCTCCAACTAATTAAATGGAGTTATCTCTCTTTTCCCAGTTTCGCTTCCGTTTGATCGAAGCATGCGTGCTGACCTAGCAACGGTTGCCGTATGTAAACATTTTTAGCAAGGTGCTTGTTATTATTTTGTCAAATAACAGTAAATATCTGTAGATGCACCTACAATACTCATATTGAAACAAACAGGTAAGCAGTTATTTAAGCTTTGATTTTGTTTATAACGGTTTTAGAAAGCGGACACTTTGCTGAGAAAGTGCAAACTCCAACACTGGATCGCATCCGTAAACTCGTGTAGTCGTTACACCGGTTGTTTAGATCTAACTAGAATTACCAGACTTTAATTATTGCATGTTCCTTTGGTAAAGATTTTTAATTTTTTTTAAAATTTTATTTTATTCATAAGCACTCCTACTGTGCTAGAAATAGTATTGGGTTCTAATTAGAGGTCCATCTCAGACTATAGCCAGCTACTTATACACTAAAATTATACTAATACTATAGCGTACCGTCTCTATATTTTCTTGCAGTTTAGGTCACTGTCATATATTTGTGGTGGAAAGGGGTTATTTTAGGAATTTGGCACCTGTTATTGTCACAATTTTGTGGTATATAATAAATGATTGTCGAAACCAATGAATGACATGAGACTGAGGACGTTCGACTGGGCATGGGATCTGGAGGACACTTTTTATGACTTTGGGTATCTCATCTCCTAGTCCTACAGTCTGGTTGTCGTGGTGAATTCTTTAATTTCTTAGTTGAATATTAAATTAATTACAAAAGTAAACAATATTGATCACATTCTGAAATTATATCACTGCGCCAATAATAGGAATACCATTTGCAACATGTCATAATTGTAATGTTCAATAGGCTATCTATGAATGATTATTTAATTTCAGTATGTATTCCCAAAATAGCCTGCTGTAGCATGATATTGAAATGCAAAATTAAATTTTAAAATTTTTTTAGGGCCACTCTTTCATAGAAAATAGTTTTCAAATCCCTTTATCAATTAGAATTAGAATTTTAGAAAAACTTGTTATGAGTTGACATGTACAGTATAGGGGTAAACCTTGTATATCACCTAGCTAGAGGCTGTTAATAGTTAATGTATTCTTGGTGAATGAATGATATTAGATTTCTGGAACATGGTCTGAAATCTTCAAGCTGTAGTCTAATGTTTCACAATATATGTCCGTTAAGTGACATATTAATTTTATTACTTTCTGCATTTTATTCATTTCAAGATTTTAAGTTAAACTAGATCTTCATTGTTCAAAAAACAATAATTTTCCATTTGAAAACATGTAACCCATTGGGATGTTGAAATTAGAATTTAAACAAAATTTGAGATAAATCTCTCAATCATCCACATGGCAGAGCTAGACCTTTGAACTCCCAATTGATGAGTGGTAATAACTTTGGAGAATATTAATAATCGAATTAAGATTATCTCTATATTGCATTCTGATGTGAATATTGTTCTGGATGAATAACTTATCAAATATGTTCTCTTTTATGTCTGATTGATTATCAAGATAAGCTGTCACTCCTCTACAAATATTGATGTTATTTTCTGTGTTTTTTTAGACAAATTAAAATGGGTCAGGCACTACAAAGAGCAGCACAATGGACATCTGCTAAAGATGGCTGTGGAGGAAAGTTAGAATTTACACCCATTAACGAAGATTTATTAAACTCAATTCTTAAGTTTGTTGAAACAGTTGGCAAATCTCCAGAAGAATCACAACTTGTCTTTAAAAATCCACTAAGATGGCATACATCACTAAACCCTTCACAATTTCAAGGAGCTGGATTTACTGACAGGTAAAATATAATTTTTTTCTTAATATTTCTCCTCGGTTGTTGAATTCTGATGCAAGATGCATTAATAATATAATTAACTCAATTTTGTTGCAAACCCTTTTCCCTAGTTAAACATACATTATGCAAGAGCTAAATCTGCCTGTTGCAGGTCTCTTTAGACCTGAAATGTTATCTAAATTATTGATTAGACATTAAGTAACTTATCCAGACCATAATCAACTCTCGATGTCATTGCTAGCCTTCGATATTTACTGGATTAGGATCCGATTTGCTGCTCAACTTTCATTCATGATTTAATCATGAAATGGATAATCAAGACTGTGTTTTATCTTACCAAGTTTAGTAATGATGATCGAGACTAGGCCGATCAATTTGACTGGAATTTTCAGCAAATTCCCTTTACATTATCTAGCCTTTAACTATTATAGTGAGAACTGCCAACTTTTTATCTAATATCCCGTAATGTATCTTTAACTAATCAGCAGATTATTTATGTATTATTATAGTAACATTTACAAATACATTTTTATGCTAAAAATATAGGATAAAACAAAATTTTAAAATATGCATATAAAGCCAGCTTGTTTATTTGTAAATCGTACTGTAGACTGATAGTTCAAGTCACGTTTCACTTTACTGTGTAATGAGTGTCATTAAGTTGACCACACCTTTTTTTTTGTTTTGTCAAGGACTCATTCAGAGAGTTTAGTAAACACTTAATTTGAATACATGTATATATTTACGGGTTCCATAGAATATGTTGACACAGCCGTGTTTTTGTAATTAGTTTATATCATATTACAATAATAAAGAGATGGCACTAATTAATGATTTAGATATGTGTATTTAGAACTTCATAATGTTATAATTCCTCTTGTTTGTTATTCCAGTGGTGATGATGTTGTATCTGATAAAAAATCGCCTAAAGATGATCAACCGCTGTTTTTAATGCACAAATTAACTAAAGATACATATGAGATCAGTGTTCAGACTTTAGGCTATGGTGAACAAGTACTCCGTGCTGCTGGTGACAAGAAAATTGTAGAACTAAGAAGCTGTTTGGAAGGTGAGAAATGGGTGAAATAGAATGTAGTATCATTGGTCCTATAGGGTAATCAAACTCAATGTCGACAAATTCACACAAACGATCATTATGTCATACAGTCTGTTCGCAAATCCCATAAGTGCCTTGATTTATTTTTAAAAGGGGAAATAACTTCTCGTTATTTCAGTTCCCTGTTTGATCAGATACATTGTAATATTTTGCATGTACTCTAATTTGAACACTCCTACTAGCAGTGGATATTATAATTTTCACCACTGTTAATGCCTCTTTATTAACTGGCATATATATATTTCTCAGCCTGTCAATTTCATTGTCAGTCAGTCGGGAGTGACATAGATTGAAATGGGAGCCATGTCTCGATTCTTATAAATAAGTTTGCCTAATATCCACAACTAAGAAAGATACTGAAAGTAAATTATTATTATTATTACAGCATATTCATAGTGTACCCTTTCATATAACATGTTCAGGGGCAATTTACAAAGTGAAAATGTAATCATAAATAAGCAACAAGATTATGGACATGTTGACATGATTTTAATGTATTTTTTTCAGCCAATAGAGATCCAGTAGTTTTTTTATTAGGTGAAAGATTTGCAACAGTTGATACAGATGATAATTCTATCTTCCGATATATTGAAGAAATTACAAAAGAAATTGAACAGAATGCAAAACAGTCTGCTGATGGATCTAATTCTGCAGAAATAGAAGAAAAGAAAATTGTTCTCAGACTGAGGTTGAAATTATTACGCCTTGATGAACAATTAATGAATCTCAGTATACAAAAAATGTCAAGGTAATAATTGTTGATACTTTTTTTAAAAAAAAATATACCAATTACATCAAATTCAGGAAATAATAAATATAAGATTTCTATGAAAGTCTAGGAGAATTTAGTATTTATATGCATCGTTTGACAAGTGATTAATTGTTCCCCATAGTCATGGATAATATATAATTTATAGTCCCAGGTCAAATAATTGATAGTCTCAAGCAAATATTGATGGTTTCAATTAATATAATTGATAGTATCGAGTAATATAATTGATAGTCCCAGCCCCAGGTAATTTAACTTATAAGCCGAAAGTAATATAATTACTATTCTCAAATAATGTAATTGATAGTCTCAAGTAATATAATTAATGGTCTTGAGTAATATAATTGATAGTCTAGATTAATATAATTGATAATCTCAAGTAATATAATTGATAGTCTCAAGTAATATAATTGATAGTCTCAAGTAATATAATTGATAATCTCAAGTAATATAATTGATAGTCTTAAGTAATATAATGAATGGGCTAAAGTAATATAATGAATGGGCTAAAGTAATATAATTGATAGTCTCAAATAATATAAGTGAGAGTTTCAAGTGATATGATTGATAGTTACATCTGATACAATTGATAGTCCAGGTAATATAATTGATAGTTACAGCTGATATAATTGATAGTTACAGCTGATATAATTGAAAATTACAACTGATATAATTGATAGTTACAACTGATATAATTGATAGTTACAGGCGATCGTATGACAAAAATGAGAACAATGAGGAATATAAATGTGATGTCTTAAGGTAAATTTGTGTATATATTTAGGAACAGTAACTGGTAATATGTTCTGAGTCGAGAGGGGAGGTCCGTTTAATCAATACTTGTATTTATTTAGATTTCATAGAGAGAGTATTATCAATATATACATCAAGGTTTATGGTTGATTAATATGATCCACTGTACTCAATGGTACCATTTGTAGAAATAAGCATATCACTAACTAATAGATATGTACTCAACAATATTATTACTTGCCAAATGTGTCAGTGGATTCAATTTCCCCCGAGTAAACCTCAGCGAAATTCTTGTCTATTCTACATTACTATCCAAGCTGGCACAGAGTTTTTTAAATTGCGTCTGCAATGGGAACATATGTGATGTAAACACAAAGAGCTTGGTTCCGAGAATTAGGTTTTTTTTTCTCTTGTACCATGGGTAATTTTATGATGCAAGTTTGTTTGTTGGTTGCCAACTATTGGTACCTAGAGATGTATTTATACAAGTGTAACGTGAATTTTACGTCTCGTCTTGTAGTAATCTATAACAGACAATATGTTCAATGGTTTTAATCTCAGTGTCTGCCTCTACTTCAACTGTTTTTGCACACCTCAGATTCTTTAAGCGACAGGTTTTTGATTTGCTTGCAAATTTCTTGCCATGTTTTAGTCATATTTGTTTCCATTTGAAATTAAAAACATTAGTTCATACTAATTTTATTTCATGAATAATTCCATTCTTTTTGAGCAGTATGAATCAGAAAATCACAGACCTACCCCCTCTTCCCCTGTTTTTTGCATCAAATCTTTGTTAAAAAAAAAAAAATACGTCAAAAACGCATTTTAGAAATTTGTTTATTTTTAAAAGTTTTTGGATCACTAGTATGGGTAATCTCAGTGTTTAGACACCAAGGAATTTTGCGTGATGTTACCACATTCACATCATAGTTTCGAGCTTGATATCGTCTGCTGAACCGAATTACTCTGCTTCTCAGAAAATAAACACAGATACTTTAAGTTAACGATCTTGAGAAACACAGTTTGAAAACTAGGAAATCACAGTTTTGACGCTTTGTGTGCTTTGCTTATAAAATGACTGCAATTCTGTGACCGAGTTCCTGTCATTTCTAACACAATCCGTAAATTTCCAAATGCGAAACTAATATGTGAAATATATTGTAGAAATCACCAGGACTTGACAAAGTGTAAATATTTGTTGGTTTGAGTATTGTGATTTTAGTTTTTCGTGCTGTAACTGTCTTATTTCTAGCAAATTTTGAGGAGATTTTATACCCTTGTTATTGTGTCCGACATTTTCGCCTGGTATGGCGTCATTGCCTTAAATGTATCAGTTTCGTATCCTTCTGTAAAAATGGCAGTCTTTCAGAAAATCATGCATGTAATGCATGCAACTATAAATTTTTACTGTTTTCTCTAAAATTTAATGAAATGTTTATGATGTAGTTGTCGTGACTTCTAAAATGTAAGGAATTTGGAAACATGTTTTCTTTTGTCATGGAGTAAAAAAACATCTAAAGGGTGTGATCATTTGTTTTTTCTAGAGATTATAAAAACAAATTTACAAAAATTATAACTTTGTCCTTTTTCAACCAAATTAGATTTTTTGGTACTTTACTTTGCTGCCAAAATTTGTTGAATAATTCGACAATAAAAAGTGAAATAAAATTTGGTGAATTTGAAAAATGGCGCTTGTACATTATACGTCAACCATGGGTTGTATCAACTTTGTTTTTCTTGAGTTTTGTGACATATTATCTCAGTAAACACCCTGTTTTCCGTTTCGTCAATTTGAATATATGTTCCTTATTAAGGTTGAATTGCCCGGACATACCATCTTAATGAAAGATGATCCCTCCAAACGGAAATCAACTCTTCATCTGAAATATTATCAGCATTTTTCGGATAAAATCAACAATATGTTGAGATAATGTTTAATAAATTTAAGAGGTGAATAATAGAAACCGGTGGGTAGAATATATATCATTTCACTTCCCTCAAGAGCCGTCTTCAAATACTGAACAGAGGTTGAAATTAAAAACATCTCACATTTTTGGGCCTTTTATCCAAGTCGAAGTGGAAATTGCTTTCTCTGGGACTTGCTTCAAGTTTTGGGCTAGAAATTGACGAGGGCAAATAAAAGCACACAATTTTATAATTTTCCCATTTCCTTCACTCAATAGAAACATAAAAGGCAGAGAGTACATTGGACCCTCGCCACTCCATCCCTAGTCGACTTTGAATCATTCCATATGGTGTTAAAGGGGATAGATTTCTTATCATAACAGTTCTCTTTTGCAATCTTATTTATAAAGGCTATTGATAGTTAATAAGATACATAACATTGTATATATATAAATATAGTATCCACATATTAGTTAGTTTAACTACCAAAAATTTTTAAATATTATTAATCAATCAAAGCTTACATATTGTATTTTTTAAAATTACTATCTTTTTATTTTTACCAATTTTGATATAGCTTTTAACTGTATTATTATAATAATATATATTTTTTTTAGTGAAGTACGATTAAGTCCAGCAACAGTTGATGGTGAAGTGAGTATTTTACAACAGTTATCTGGAGATGATGAAGAGAGATGTGTTGTAGAATACATTGATTATTATGGTAAATTAAAAACTCTTATTAATCATCTTTTCATAAAAGGGGGGTTGGATGGCCGAATGGTTAGCACTTGTGTATTGTATCATAAGGTCTGTCATTGAGTCGCCTGTCCAACCTCGTGGGTTTTCTCCGGGTTCTCCAGTTTCCTCCCACTGCTAAAGAACCCAACGCGCAAGCAAATTATTGAAATAAAATTGAACTATATGTTAGTCCCAAAATGACCTAGTTTGTGTTGAGTGGATGTTAAACCCTATTTCTCTCTATTCATAAAACAAAATTTAATGAACATTAAAATATCATGTTGCATATTTTTAAGCTTAACATAGAAACTGTTTTTATTATTTCATAAATAATTGTTCATTTATCAGACTTTTATATTTTTTTTTATTTGATTTTTTAACTGTTTATTCAAAAAATGATTGAAATTATTAAAAGGAAAGGATTAAAGCCCCCAAAATTAAGATCATTGACTTCCATTTTTATTTAGAAGCACTTAAACAAAAAAAAAAGAAAAATCTGAAGAAAAATATTTGTAACCATGACAACACTGTTAATTGTCTCCTTGGTGATTAAAAAAAACCATGCAATATTGGGGAAAAATATATAAATGTTATTTAGTTTTGGGTTTTAAGGTGGTTTTTTTTTTTTTTGTAGGAGAAACATTTGTGTCCCAAAATGGCTGCAGAGCTCAACCTTGGCGACAACTCCATGGTGATATATGTTATCTGTGTGTCAGAGTTCATGATAATGACAATCCATTGTACATCACAGCTAATACCAGTGGTTATTATTTAAATAATGTAAGTAATAAAAACTTATATAGTTAAAACATGTTTTTTAATAAATATTGGAGAAACTACTGGCATATTTTCAACAATAAGATAGATCTAGATTCTGTGTGACAAGAATGGAAAGACATTAATAACCTTATCAGAATGGACAGACATTAATAGACATTAATAGACAATAAGGATAATAATTCTAATATTGAAATGAATGATTATGTATTTTTTTTGGTATTAATTTAGAATTGGTAATTACATTGTGATTTTACATTCTACTTATATAGTCAGACATTTTAAATCTGCTTGTAACAAGTCGAAGATCTATATTGGTTTTTTAATGGATTTTAATTTCTTTTAAAGGGTAATGTTAATGTCACTAATTAGTTGTATATTACTAAATTAGTTTGTTTTTGCAAATTAATTTTGAACCGAAATAGAACTAAAATATCCATATTATAGGTGAAATAATGGATTTCATTTGGTTGTTGCGATGACGTCATAATTTAATTGTGATGTCATAAGGTCACATCATAATAAATTTATTAATCACTTCTCAAAAGTCACATTTACCATTCTTCTTAATGAAATTTGAAAGAAATGGAAAAATATGTTATGCAGAATACATAGTAGCCTAGTCTTTTTTTTATTAGTAACCACAAACATGCATATTGTAGTGCTATTGTGATGATGTCATATATCTATTATGTGATGTCATAGTATTGTTTTCTAGCCAAGACATTATTTAGGCTTGTGTAAGTAAACACTGAACAGTGTTGTTGTTTTTTTTTCTATGACTTTTGTTTGATATAATATTTCTTTATTTAGTTAATTTAGTAATTTTTGTATTTATTATTCTTCTACTGTATTTATTCTTCTTCGACTGTATTTAGATTCTTCTATTTAAACCTTTTGTTTCCTATCTCAGTTTGACTTTTAAAAATGTCTTTACGATGAATTACTTTTTAGATTGAGATATATTTATTTTATTTTTGATGGCCTATTTATTTTTTTTAATTATTTTTATATACAGGGTCCAGTCAATGAAAAAGCTAATCAATTAGATTATGGTCGACCAGATTCAAATACCTACAGAGATTTAGTTTCATTATTGAAAAGTAAAAGTGCTAAATTTTCTGAACTAATTGATAAACAGGTAACATATTTTTTTAATAAACAATATTTTATTCAGGATATCTAAATGAGATTTGTAAAACACCTTTCCTTAAATCGTACATATGTTAATACTGCATATTAACAGATTATATGGGTGTATAAATACAGAATTAAATGGATACAATTTTATAATACGTATATATTTGATAAACTGGAAGAACGTTTATATGGTAATATTATCATATTATTGAAAAATTTATAAAGCGCATAGCTTCCACTGTTAGGTGCCCATATGCGCTGTACACAATTAAAAAATACATAAATTAAAAGTATATATAAATAAAAGGGTTAGAGTAAAAGAATTAGACAAAAGTATAAAACATACAGAATAAAACACAGGTTACAAAACATCTATAAAAGTAACATTTAAAACGTTTATATAAAAGCTTCTTTATAAAGGTGTGTTTTTAGATGTATAAAAACTTTTGAAAGTATTATACGTAAGCTGAATATTTTAAAAGAAATTGGTAAATTTTTGTGATAATTACTGTACCCTTTGATAATTCAGTTTGGAAAACAAATAGATTGTACCCCATATCAGAAATGATGCCATCTGTCAAATAGATATTCTTAAACATGTAACTGTATCATATTAAATGGATATACATTGAGAAGGAATATGTCCTTTTATTTATGTATCTTTTAGTTTTGTACAGTGGAAGTTATGCTCTATGTAAATTTGTTAATAATAATAATAATGATATAATCCTACAAAGATTCTGATCAGACTAGTAGTAGATAAACTATGCATGTGAATGAATCTGAGTGGAGGAAGTATTTTTTACTAGGATAATTTACATTTTGTTTTAATTTTAAAGGAATTTGCATTAAAAGTTGAACAAAACGATAAGAAAAAGATTGAGATGTCTGAAAAACGAGATCACGACGAATCAGAACAGAAACACTCCAACGATCATCACACAAGGAATGAGAAAGATCAACAGATGGAAAAAGATAAAAACCAGAAAAATAGAACACAGAATAAGAAAAAATTAGAACCATCTTTAAAATGGAAAGCATTAGATATGGAGGAAAACACTTTACAAAAGTAAGTTGAAATTCTACTAGACAATGGCTACCATTTTATGACACATTATATACTATCCAGGGTCCTAACTTCCTCAGAGCAACGAGGCGGGCGCGAAGTGTTCTCAGGGGGGGCTGTAAAATTGATGGACAATGTATATCTATTGTTTTTATGGTCGACAAATTTTTTACCGGGAGGGGGGGGAGGAGACTTTTTGCCCCCTGCACACACACACACACACACCCTAGTTACAGGCCTGATACAATTACTTGTAAGTACTAAGTCTTTTGAAAATTTATCTGATGAAAAAAGATAATATAGTGAGTGATGATATACCAATGGAACTGAGGTTTATATGTAACTCTAAGAATGATAAAGATTACAATATGATTATGTATATTTTTATAGAGAGCAAGATACAAGTGTGACTAAAACAGAAAAGAAAAGTAAAACTGTACAGAGGTAAATAAATCTATTCCTGATAATCTATGTAGATATCAATCTTCATTAGTCCAGTCGGAACACAACAGTAGGACGTAAAACTCCATTTCATTTATATTTAAATATTTTATCTAGATTATTATTTAGTAGATATAATTAAAGGGTGTATAGCTCTAAATATTTTGGAACCTTAAGATAGATGAAAATGGGTCTAAAAGCATACATTAATGTAATTTGAGTGTATAAAATGTGTTTTACATCTTATTTTTAATTTTGAATCATTTATAATCATTGAAATATATGTGAGCAACCCAAACTGAAGTTGAACGGCTATTGTATGCACCTGCTGAGTCCATTCTTGACGTCTTTTATTATTATTATATTTTGTGTCTTAAATATTGGATAATAGGATCCCATATTTTCATGGTAACAACATCAATATTGATTGATATAGACCAATAATGAATTCTGATTCCATACTGGAATTATTTACAGATTAAAGTCAAAGACACCAATAGATGCTGAAGATTCATTTAGTGAAAGTGATACAGAAAGCGAAGAAGAAGAAGAAGCTGTTGAGAGACGAGCAGAAGCTAATGCTGATTTACCTTCGGAGTACTGGCAAATACAGAAACTTGTCAAATATTTAAAGGTATTCTATTTCTGGAATTGAACCATTTGTATTCAATGTTAAAATGTGAGTTGATTAATGGAGTTATCCCCCTTTAGTCTTCTAGCATTATTTGATGGTTTCTTCTTTACTTTATGATTGTAAGAACCAACCCATGAGTGGATATAAACAAATACTGCTTGAAGACTAAAGGGGGATAACTCCATCAATAGATTCATATTTTCTTTTCTCTATGATTTGGGGAGCAGTGTAGGCTCAGTGAGTAAGACATGGCTCGCTAATCTGGACTCTGGAGGTCCTGTGTTCGATCCGGGTATTGGCAGAGAAAATACATCAGGATTTTCCGGCCCAGTCCCCCCTTGTCAGTGGTGCAGGACAAAGGTCCTGGCAAGAGATGACGTATAGTCGTTCAGAAGAGATGGAAAAACGAGGTCCACGTTCGCATTAGCATGCATGTAAAAGAACCCTTGGTGGTCGTTGGAATTCGATATATGAGAAAAACGTCCCTCATAGCACACTGTATGGTGTATGCCCATTTTCATTAGCCCAATTGGAGCCGAAAGTAGGACGTTATACCCTATTTCATTTCATTTGATTATGATTGACAAATTTAACCAGAAATTGTCGACCCTTATTTATTTTTTAAGATTTTATTAGTATTCAACGAGCATTTTCAAGAAGTTTTCAGATTATTTATTTTCTAAATAATGTTGTCATATTATTGTGTTTGTAATTGACAGGGAGGTAATCAGACAGCTACTATTATAGCTTTATGTTCTTTACGAGATTTTAACTTGGCATTAGAAACATGTCAACTAGCTATACGAGATGTCGGAGGTCTAGAAGTTTTAATTAATTTACTAGACACAGAAGAAGTTAAATGTAAAGTAAGTATCAACCCATTTGCATTTTTTGTGACAATTGAAATTGAACCTTTCTGCTTTTTTATAAATAACTATCCAATATTCATAATAACACAACTTTATGGCTTTACTACTTAGTTTATTACATGCAACATTTTAATACTCTTGCTTGATAAAGATACCTGTAAAAGTATTGAAACGTTGCATGTAATAAACTAAGAAGTAGTAAATCCATAAAGTTGTGTTATTATGAATATTATACCTCTACTTCTAAATGTTATTTAAGGAAACTATCCAATAGATTATTCTCTAAAACATTAGAAAATCATAGTGATTTTTAAACTATTTTAGATTGGTGCACTGAAGATATTAAAAGAAATTTCATGCAACAGTCAGATTCGTAGAGCCATTGCTGATTTAGGTGGATTACAAACCATGGTGAAGATCCTTCGAGATTCCAACAAAGAATTAAAATGTTTGGCAGCTGAGACAATTGCAAATGTAGCTAAATTCCGTCGCGCTAGAAGAACTGTCAGACAACATGGAGGAATTAAAAGACTTGTAAGTATTGTCATCTATTTAGCTTTTGTAGAGAAATAAATTTAATTTTTTATATAGGACTGTAATTATAGAGCAATGAATGCTGAGATCAAATTAGTAGGAGACCCCTCTATAATTGATGATTTTTTAGGAAAACCTCTTTTATACAGCTACTTGTAAATTTGACCATGGAGACTAGTTCCAACACATTTCTTGTTTATTTCATCAAATGGTGGGGTTGGATGGCTGAATGGTTAGCGCGTGCACGTTGTATCACAAGGCCTGTCATTGAGTCAACTGGTGTCGTTTTTCGATTCCTCGGTTGTACGTGCTAAGAGTAGGGTCGCAAGTTCAACCTCTCGTGAATTTTTCTCTGGGTCCTCCGGTTTCCTCTCTCTCTCTCTCTCTCTCTCTCTCTCTCTCTCTCTCTCTCTCATCTAACCAATCAACAGATGAGGTTAAACCTTTTATCTTCCAGGTTAGTTTGTTGGATTGTGCTCAGATGCGGAATAATAAACCAGATAGTGCTCAGGTACCGGCTGATAAACCAGACACCGAGAAAGATGTAGAGGTTGCACGTTGTGGCGCCCTGGCATTATGGAGTTGTAGCAAGAGTAAGAAGAATAAAGAAGCCATGAGAAAAGCTGGTTCCATACCTCTACTTGCTAAATTACTCAAATCTACAAATGAAGATATGTTAATACCGGTTGTAGGAACTCTACAAGAATGTGCCTCAGAGGTAAAAAAACAACAAATCTACAATAAATTCCCTTTGTTTGATAATAAATAACCTATAGTCTTTTGGCTAATGTTTTGGGCATCAAGTTGGTGCTATTCTGTAGAATTTATTACCCCTAAATTAAAACTCATCTATTTACAGCCTAATGTGGCATTTTGAGCATGTCTACTAAAACGGAACTGTGCGTGCGTGGTATAAATGAACATATTTTTATTTTTATTACGCTATGTCTTGTAGCAGAGTAAATATTTAATAGGGTACTGGTAAGTTATATTAGGTAGGCATGTTGTGAAATTTGATAATCATGAAATATTATTTTCTGTTTTCTCATGTTGTTACATTATGAAAAAAAAAGATTCCCCATCAAAATGATGATATGAAGGTGCATATCTTATGTTATTATTATTATTATTATTATTATTTCAGCCTAGCTACAGACTTGCTATCAGAACTGAAGGTATGATTGAAGATCTTGTACAAAATTTAAAAAGTTCAAATCAAGAATTACAGATGCATTGTGCCTCAGCTATATTTAAGGTAAGAATATAATCTGAAGTTTTTAAAACCTGACAGATTAGTGCTTTTTCTTTTCCTTGGATGATTCTGATTCTTTTAAAGTCAAATTGATTAATGCTCTTGTCTAATTGTGCTTCCTGTAAAGATTGTTCAGAAAATCTAAACTGCTGGATCACGTTCATTTTTGCCCCCCCCACCCCCTTTGCCTGGATTATTTTAAATGTTAATCTATAAAATATAGAATCTGTAATCTATTACTGCAAATGGTCAGTTTTGATGACAGTCAGTCACTTACCAAGCTGTTGACCACACATATTAAACTAAATTTTCTTCATAGCCTCATCAAACAGACATCAGTTTTATTTGATTATGAGTTAATAGTGAAACAATAGATAAAATAACACCTTGCTATCGGAAAACAAAACCAGATCAAACGTTGATATAGGTAATTATCCCTAGATTACAGGTGTTATTTGATTATCAGTTTTGACCATCCAAGTCAGTTATATGGATTTATATAAGCTCTGGCTGGTTTTCAGATTCCATAATTAAATATTGTATCTTTATATGTAAATATTGATTGAATAAATACTGTTTGAAACAAAAAAAAATTTTATTGAGTTTCTGAACTAACATTGGCAGATTTCATAGTGAAAGTTTCGTCCAAAGGTTGAGGTTTCCAAATTATCGGATTCCATAAAAATATGTTATAGACTTTTACATGCTAAGGTTGACTAAATCTGGCGTAATATTGAAAGTTGATGTTTTCTATAATTTGAAATTGAGCCGATGTGTTTGTTACCTGTTTTAGTGTGCTGAAGAAAAAGAAACCCGAGATTTAGTGAGAAAGTTTGGTGGATTAGATCCGTTAGTATCTTTACTAACTAATGTAGAAAATAAGGAATTATTGGCAGCAGCTACAGGTGCTATCTGGAAGTGTGCCATTAGCCCTGAAAATGTTCAGAGATTTGAAGAATTAAAAGCTATTGATCAACTAGTAACTTTATTAAATAACCAACCAGAAGAGGTATGTCTAATTAATAGTATTTTTGATGTAATGCAGTACCAAGTTTTTATGGTACAATTTTGTAATTGTAACAAATTGTCTTCATTCATTGTGAAATGTATACTTGACACATGTCTAATTAATAATATTTTTGATGTAATGCAGTACCAAGTCTTTATGGTACAATTTGTTATTGTAACAAATTGCCTTCATTCATTGTGAAATGTATACTTTACTATCTGTCTGTACACTTGTGTTAATATCCATTCCAATTTCTTTGGGGCTATATTTGTTCCATGAAGTTGTGATGACAGCTGTCATGTATGAAACAGATTATGCCTATTCCTTCTGGAATACATGATACTGGCGACATTAGATCAGATGTTTTGTTGTTTATTTTGGACTGAGAATTATGAATATTTCAAGTGAAAATGTGTTAATGCTCTTACTATTTTCAGGTATTAGTGAATGTTGTAGGAGCATTAGGGGAATTAGCCAAGGCAACACCAAATAGAATGCAGATACGTAAATCGGGTGGCATACCATATTTAGTCAATTTATTAACAGGAACAAATCAAGCGTTATTAGTCAATGTAACAAGAGCTGTAGGTAAATGTGCTGAGGAACCAGATAATATGTTGTAAGTTTTCTTAGTATAATCATGATATCGAGGGGGTCAAATGGTCCGTTTTTTACAAAAGTTCAATCTGATTAAAATACAGATCTATATTTCGTTTCATTTTATTTATTCTTTCGATGGCCTACACTATATGAAGATCTGACAAGTTATGGTGGGAGTTCATGTCTGGGGTCAAACGAGCGGCTTTTGACCCTATGACGTCAGACATTGATTAACCAATCAACGTTGATGTTTCTAGTGGGTTACCCACAGTTCCGTGCATCAATTAAAGGCCAAGAATTCACTGTAACAGACCGTTTCTTTGGCTAATCCCTCACATCATCCAGAACACGTCAATGATAAAAACTCTTCCAGATCTTAGTGTAGTAAAGACAAGTAAAACAAAATTTTGAACTTTAAAAACGAAACGAAATAGGATCTGTGTTTTAACCAGATTGTACAAAAGTTTATACAGAAAAGGATATGTTATATGTTTATCAAGACGTAAGCTGTTTTGGTCATTAACAATGTGTAACTGTTTATTTTTTATTTTTTTTATAAACGTAATTAGCATTTGACTAACTTACCTTTGATTGAATTTTGTATTACTGCCTTTTTATAATCAAAGAAATAAACAATAAATATAAATAAAAATATTATTTTTTTATGTACATTTTCTTTCTGTATTTAACAGAATAATTGATAAATTAGATGGTGTAAGATTATTATGGTCTTTACTCAAAAATCAAAACACAGATGTACAAGCCAGTGCTGCCTGGGCTATATGTCCTTGTATTGAAAATGCTAAGGTGAGTAGCATTGGTCAGTATTACCTGTTAGCTGTACTAGTATAGGTGATCTTTCAAATTTCTCCCCAAGTACATGAAAGTTGTAATGCAAAGACTGATATGATAAAGATACTGCTGTTGAAGCAAAATGACCCCGTCCTCAACCCCAACCGTGCACATGTACATGTAACCATTACTAATGAAGATAGGAATAATTATTATAATCTTTCTAAACATTACCGAGAATTATGTCACAGGAAATATATGATTGATTGATTGATTGTTAGGAAAGTAAAATGTAATGTTATTTCTATAAGGATGTAAACTGCATGCGGGGGGGGGGGGTTGGATTGCCAAATGGTTAGCACGTCCGCGCTGTATCATAAGGTCTGTCATTGAGTCAACTGGTGTGATTTTGATTTCCCAGTTGTACGTGACAAGGAGTACGGTCGCCTGTCCAACCTCGTAGGTTTTCTCCAGGTCCTCCGGTTTCCTTCCACTGCTAAAGACCCCTGCGCGCAAGCAAATTATTGAAATAAAATTGAACCATATGGTAGTCCCAAATGACCTACTTTGTTTCGAGTGGACGTTAAACCCCATTTCTCTCTCTCTCTATAAACTGCATGTGCTTGTGGTGAATAAAAAAATAATGTAAGCGTCTTGTTTTCAGGATGCAGGGGAAATGGTGAGATCTTTTGTTGGTGGTTTAGAATTAATTGTTAGTTTATTAAAGTCTGACGATAAAGAAGTTTTAGCTAGTGTTTGTGCAGCTATAGCTAATATAGCTAAAGATGAAGAGAATTTAGCTGTTATAACAGATCATGGAGTTGTTCCTATGTTAGCTAATTTAACAAATACAGTAAGTACAAACTTAATCTCTATTATCTTCCACTGTTTGGCTCTAATAGTTGCTTTTATATTTTATTTTGTCTGCACTGTATTCTCATACCTTTTTCTTTTTACGTTGTCTACATTTCCGTGTTTTTTGATAAATTGAATTAGACCATATTGTTTCCTGTAAGTTTATAGCTTACAATATTGATTTCTGAAACTAGATGTCCCTTGATAACAATAAATTTATTTTATATGACTTCCTTGATTATGTTTCACTTGCCTGTAAATGTTTTATATTCAAACAGTATAAGCTATTATAAAAACAATAAAACAGATTTATTGTGGTGGATTGAGCGAGTACAAGTAGAAAAAGTAGTTTATTTATATTCTAGACTTGTTTTTGATCATCATAAAAATGTCAATTTCTGATGAGAAATATCTTGATTTAATTGAAGGGTGTCAACTGGTGTTGATTACATCAGAAATAAACAAAACACACTATGGGATATCAATCATTGGTTTTATTCTAAAAGCATGACGTTTCAACAAGTAACCTATTATTGTTATCCGAGGGGTGGGGGGGGCCGAATGGTTAACACATGCTCATTTGATCATAAGGTCTGTCATTGAGTCAAGTGGCATGGTTTCGATTCCCCACTTGTACGTGACAAGGAGTAGGGTCACCTGTCCAACCTTGTGGGTTTTCTCCAGGCCCTGTGCTTTCCTCCAACTGCTAAAGACCCCTATGCACCAGCGAATAATTGAAATAAAATTGAACCATATGTTAGTCCCAAAATGACCTAGTTTGCGTCAAGTGGACGTTAAACCCCATTTCTCTGTCATTCTAATATGGTGTATACACCCAATGATTGTTGTTTGTATTACTGGCCATACATCATCCATGATACAATATAAACACTGTTGTCATTTATAGCAGTGAGATTAGCAAAATATTTGGCAAAATCATAACAAGAATATAGATGAATCACCATTAGTAATCTCCATTACGGGTAGTCAATAAGAATATGGATTGGTCAACTAGTCAATAAAATGTTAAGTCTTTTTATACACCCACATTTTCTTGTGATATTCCATAATTAATAGAATACAATATCAAAAAACATCGTTTTATCCAATGTTTCCTTAGTAAAAATACTAACTTATTCACAGATGAAAAACTAAATACAAAATGACTGGAAGTCAATTATGATATCATAGCCAGTTATGATGTCATAACTAACTTCCAGTCATTTTGTATGAAGATGAAGAAGTTAGTATTTTTACTAACGAAATGTTGGATAAAACGATGGTTTTAATTACTGTATTATCTGACTATCAATTGCATCATTTTGACTTAGTGAAAATTGATCCCATCAAACTGTCTCTAAATGGTTTGTGTTACCAGTTTCTGTTGATTGGAAGTTTCTCACATTTTCATGTAGAGTATCGAATATTGTAGCTTGTTGTCCATCTAGAGGTCATAATTTTTATCTGATTTAACAAAACATTTGAATATATCACCGCGCATATGGGAACGTAACTTCCTGGATTATGGTCCCTAATTGTTCGAAAAATCTTGTTTTTAGCTTGTGGACCCTCTAAAGTTACAATTTGTATTAAATTTTAACCAGCGTTTAAATATATCACCATTACACCCTATTGATGGTTGAGTTTGAATTTCTTGAAAATCCGACCGAAACTGTCCAACAAAATGGCTGCTCCTTGTATGCAAATAGTATAAAAGTATGTAATACCAAGAATGTGGACCCCGTAAAAGTCACAATTTTTTATCCAATTTTGATGAAAGTTAAAATATGTTTATATCCCAAAGGTCTTGGTTCCTTTTTATATTCGTGCATATCGGACCATAACTTCGTGGATTATGGCCCCTGTTTGTACAAAATGTAGACGTATCTTGCATGGCCAACAGTCTCTGTTTATTATGGAACTTCATAAGAAATTTTTAAGAATATATTTTAAATTTAAACCAGAGATAAAAAAGTAAAAGATGTCTGTTGGTATTCTCGCTTTAAAATCTTGTATTCTACAATATATCTTTAAGTTAAGCCCATGATTTTTTCTTCTGTATTCTATTATATAGAAAACTTCTTATTTATAATACAGCCATTATGAACATTTTACAATAAACTTAAGAATAAATTTACTGTGTCAAAGTTTTGATGACTATTTCACATTGTACTCAGTATGCTATATCATTGAGAGAGGGTGTGATGTTTGTATTTACAATAATCTTTTGTTTAATTATTGTAAGTGGGGTTATGCCGTCCTATCTCTTATCAGTGTTTAAAGTGGAGGTCTTATCATTTAATATTATTACATCATATTTACAATTAACGAAACGTGAATCATTATTATAACAGTGGTTGTGGGCTATAAATTAAGTTCTATAAAGTGAAGTTAAAATGAATTTTGAGCATTTTTTTTTTTTAACCATTCCATCGTCTTGTCTTTTTTTTGGGCCTTCTTCTTCCGAACCACTTGACAAATTTTAATCAAATGTATATGTTGCTTGCTTGCTGTTTTAGCTCTTATTCAAATTTCTTATCTATGTTGAAGTTGGTCAGCCATGGATGGGGCAGGGGCATCTTAAAGGGTAAAATTTTGATATTTTCATATATTTTTGACTTCTTTTTATCAGGTAATAAATATATTTTGCTTTGGGTATGTGTGTGTTTGGGGGTGAGGGCTTAGTTGTATATAAAAGGTGCATTTTTGACATTTTTAACTTCTAAATTTGTAAACTTTTCCATTGGTGCCCCTCTCTCCAATGGTGAGAGCAGGAGGTTGTTTAAATATCTAGACTGATTCTTCTATATTGGTTATTGGCTACAAACCAAATGGTAAATAAGTTTTATTGGATGGTTATTAATCAGATATCATTATGTGAATCTGCTGTCAATACATCTTTAACTTTCAAGGGGAAATTTTGAGATTTTCTTGTTATTAGTTTTGTAGAAATGTTGGCTTTTAGGTACATAACATGTAAATATTCATCCTTCATGATTAATAAATGAGATTTAAACATCACTTGATCTTAAATCCTTGAAAATATTTGAGAATACAAAAATTATATCGAACAGCATTTAAAATACATAACAGATTCTTTTTATCAATCCCTAAAGCGCCTATCAAGGTTCAAAAGGAATTGGCTTATCGTAAGTATTCAAAATTATTCAGTTATATAAAGATATGAATAATTGTAATTCTTCACATTGTATTTTAGCATGAAAGGCATGGCTTATTTATTCAACACTTAGATTATATTTATTTATTGACTGTGATATGATATACAATAAACTGCTGATATGATTGTAAACATTACAGTGAGTCATAAAACTTGTATATTAGATAAATACAACATATTTCACAATAGTTATATACTGTCCTATATTGGTATATTAACAACAAATTAAACAATGCAATTTATTATACTATAGTTCATAAAAAAATATCTAAACATACAATTCTGTCTATATACTGAAATAAACTAGTGTCGCCTGTTCTTGGCCCAGAAAATGAATATATAAAAAAGGCACAATATTCAAGACTAAAAAGGCAAATATATTTTATCAGTCAACATTCATTATTATAGTATTATCAAAACATATATTGGTTCAAAAATTATTAAAATCAATCAAGGGTAACAGAAGTTATGTAAATTCTCATTATACATGTATAGTAACTATTGATTTTATGATTCCATGTTTATTTTGGTCTTAAAACATCAGTATGCTACGGAAAAATAACTTGTTTCTTACCACTAACATAACCTAAGTTCTTGTTTTCAGTGGTCAAGATTTATATCCAAAGACCATATTTCAGATGTTATTTTTATTAAATACTAGCAGGATACCCGGCTTCGCTCGGGGGTCATAACTCCGAAACCGGAAGTGGTAGACTAACGCCACCTGGTCTATGTTACTCCCTGGTCCGAGCTACCCCTACACCCTAAATTTCAGACTCGGGACAGACCTAGTGTAGCCGCCAACCCCGAACAGACCGGCTTCGCTCAGGGGTCATAACTCCGAAACCGGAAGTGGTAGACTAACGCCACCTGGCCTATGTTACTCCCCGGTCCAAGCTACCGCTATACCCAAAATTTCAGACTCGGGGCAGACCTAGTGTAGCCGACAACCCCGAACAGACCGACTTCGCTCGGGGGTCATAACTCCGAAACCGGAAGTGGTAGACTAACGCCACCTGACCTATGTTACTCCCCGGTCCGAGCTACCCCTATACCCCAAATTTCAGACTCGGGGCAGATGTAGCCGTCAACCCCGAATAGACAGACGTCGCTCGGGGTTCATAACTCCGAAACCGGAAGTGGTAGACTAACGCCACCTGGCCTATGCTACTCCCCGGTCCGAGCTACCCATATATCCCAAATTTCAGACTCGGGGCAAACCTAGTGTAGCCGCCAACCCCGAACAGACCAGCTTTGCTCGGGGGTCATAACTCCGAAACCGGAAGTGGTAGACTAACGCCACCTGGCCTATGTTACTCCCCGGTCCGAGCTAACCCTATACCCCAAATTTCAGACTCGGGGCAGACCTAGTGTAGCCGCCAACCCCTAACAGACAGACAGACAGACAAACGACAGTCACAAATATATATATAGATAAAAATGGAAATATTATTAGGCACATTGAGATTTTAAATGGGGTTTTTCTATATTTTTCATTAAATTCAGTTTTTTATAGATTCTAATTCTAGAGATAAATTCAGTATGTCTATATTTGGAGTATTTTATAGATTCTATAGATAAATTCAGTATGTCTATATTTGGAGTATTTTATAGATTCTATAGATAAATTCAGTATGTCTATATTTGGAGTATTTTATAGATTCTATAGATAAATTCAGTATGTCTATATTTGGAGTAGGGGGATTGGATGGCCGAATGGTTAGCACATGCATGCTGTATCATAAGGTCTGCAATTGAGTCAACTGGCGTGGTTTCGATTCCTCGGTTGCACGTGACAAGGAATAGTGTTGCCTGTCCAGCTTCGTGGGTTTTCTCTGGGTCCTCCGGTTTCCCCCACTGCTAAAGAACTCTACGCGCAAGCGAATTATTGAAACAAAACTGAACCATATGTTAGTCTCGAAATAACCTAGTTTGTGTCAAGTGGACATTAAACCCCATTTCTCTCTCTCTATATATAATATATATTTGGAGTATTTTATAGATAAATTCAGTATGTCAATATTATTATGTCAGTATTTTATCACCATTCCCTTTAAACATTATATACATAGATGATTCATGTTCACAAATTTAGCTAGCCATATACACTATTTGTATGACTGATGAATGGAATGTTAGGTCATGAGTTACCCATATTGTAGAGATTGTGAAATTCGGTTTCTTTTTATTATCAATATTCAAGGAGTGCCCTTCATAAATAGTCAGATGTATTTGATTATTTTGGAGAAATAAAATATAAATGTTCAATAAATTTTGTTTATTTAATATAAACTATATTATAGAATTACATATTGTATTATAAAGGAATATACACTCAGGCGATTCAAATTTTTAAAATATTTTATTCATCAACAATCAGAAGTAAAAATAATTTCTACTTAATTAATAAATTAACATAGCATGAGAACAATTATTATTAGTCACAGAAAATCTACAAACAACAAGCAAACATGTTGTAGAGTTACTTTTCTTACTCTGTAAACATTTGACTGCATGAAAATACACCGTTTATTTACAAATTACAGTGACTGATACTGTTCACTTTGTGCCATCACGTATGGTGTGTTAATTTGTTAGAGGCAAACTGATGTGCACATATGGGGTTGTTCATATTTGAAAATATTTTAAGTGTGGTTTAGTGGTCAAGAGCAAGACTTTGCGTAAAATTGAAACTGATGAGGATATTAGTCCGAGGGCTATATCAATATGTTCTACAAGGTCTTGCTCAAGACCATTAACAACTTAAAATACAGACACTATTTCATCCAATATTTCATCTAGTATAAAATATTGTAGCGTTGGCAAGTTGCCCATACCATTATTTGAAAAAATGGTACAACCATCAATGAATGACGTCACATCTGTATTATATTATTTAATAATGAATTGAATAAAGACAAATCAGCAATGTCTACTCACTGCTGTCCTCAAAGAATGGGCGTTGGTTGGTAAAGTGTTTTTATTACTCAGTTTATTGATTATCATTACTAATCCAGTATTATATTTGTATGGTATGAATATTCAAAGGTGACTTTCTCTACTGCTATATGTAGTGCTTAATAATAATATTTAACAAGGGCTTGGTTGTAGATAATAACATATATAGAAATTTATATTCATATACTATTTATAATTAAATAAAAAACTGTAGACAAGGTTAACGCCCCGCTGTATTTATCAGTTGAATTATTTGATTTTTACTAGAATCAATCGTAGGTGCACAGTTATAATTACTAGCCTGCATACACCATACAGTGTGCTATGAGGGAAATTTTGCCTGGACCTTGTTTTTTTTTTTTTGTCCCATCCAAACAACTATACTTTGTCCCTTGTCAGCCCCCCCCCCCCCACCGGCCTGCACCACTGGCAGGGGAGAACCAGACAGGGACATTGATACTGAATAAATATGTGAACTATTAGAACCATTTATAATAAGAATTTTCAATAAACCGCGAGAAATAGATTAAAAATACTTGTTGTCAGTGACGTGTGTGAGATAAGAGATAAGATTTTATTATATTGAAACATCCATTGAGGGGAGAGAGGGAGAAATGGGGTTTAACGTCCACTTGACACGAACTAAGTCATGTCGCGACTAACACATTGTTCAATTTTATTTCAATAATTTGCTTGCGCGTACAACCGGGGAATCAAAACCACGCCAGTTGACTCAATGACAGACCTTATGATTCAGCGTGCACATGCTAACCATTCGACCATCTCTCCACCCCCTCCCTCAATCCATTGAGGACAGCATACAATATAAACATGTACATAAATAACAATATGACAAATAATATATAATTGATAATTTTAATGTAGCTTATATTTACTATAATAGTCAAGTACTAGTACTAGAATACTAGACATTTCCTTCCTATTATAATTAAGATTTACAACAATCATCATACAATAATAAAATATGTCGAGGGTGTAAGATTAAATGGTGATTTGTTCACATTTTCACATATGATCACGTGACTAACAGATAAGTGAAACTTTCTAAAAATACATTTTGGTTGAATTAGTGTTGGCTTCGGACTTTTGTGATTTATAGTTATGAGATAAGATTTTATTGTATCCTAATCACCCTATTAGTGGCAGCATACAAATACAAACAAAATGTTAAATACATGAAGTATGACAATGGCTAATAAAAAGAAAGAAAAAAAAAACAAACAAAAATGTGTGAATAGGGGTAGGGGCCAAGGCCAATTTGATGTCTTTGGCTTGAAAATATCTCTTATTTTCTCAAAGTTTTTTCTAAAATCACACCTGGACTGTGTATAAATTTGTATACGCACAAAGAAATGAATTGTATATTAAATACAGAAAACAGTATATTTTGAAGTACAAACACTGATTTCTGTTATGAGAAATTAATAGTTCTCTAATATGGTAAAGAATGTCAATACAGTTTCTGTATACCACTGAAAAAGTTGAATCCTCCTAACATAAACACCTACTATTTTTAAACTTTCCAAATGTTTTTTATGTTGTAAAATGGCTCACATGATACATATATTTAAAGTGGCTAACATGATGCATATGTTGTAAAAGGGCTCACATGTTGTAAAAGGGCTCACCTGATACATATGTTGTAACATGATACAAGTGGCTAACATGATGCATATGTTGTAAAGGGCTAACATGTTGTAAATGGCTCACATGATACATATGTTGTAAAATGGCTCACATGATACATATAAATATATATATTTTAAAGGGCTCACTTGAAGCATATCTTTTAAAGGGCTTACATGATACAGTGCCTAAGACTAATTGTATAATTTAAACTTGAAGACAGATATATTAAATGTTTTTTTTTGTATTGAATAATATATTATATTGCTGTGATAGAATGTGTAACATGGTGAAGAATAGAACAAAATATATATATGAATAATCACCTACACCTGTTACTGTGTTAAACCGGTTATTGAAAAATAACTCATATTTCTATTAATTTTCACTAACTAAAAGAATTGACATTTCTATTAAAAACTAGAAACCCACTGCTTTGTATCTAATCAATAATTTAGCAACAGGTCACCATATTATATTTACATACAAGATTCATTTACCTGTAGCTATAAAATGGGGTCTAGTAGAGACTATCAAATAATATGATTATAATTTTTTATACACCAACATATAATATGATTATAACTTTTTGTATGCCACAATATTTGAGAAATGAAATGAAGTTTATCTGCTACTGTTAACAAATGAGCTAATGAAGACAGGAATACACATTATAGTGTGAATACGTAGAGATTAGATTTCTTGAAAGATCTTTGATACTCAAATTTTGTCAACATCCAAGTTTTCCTCTTGCATGTACTGCTGTTAAGATATAGTTGCTATGTGGGCGTATTTCCACTCTTTGCTTGGCTATCTTTTTTATTGATTTGTTCAATATAAAGCATGATATTTTGTCATGAGACTTTATTTATGTTTCCAATATGAACATGTATTTGTGTTTTGAAGGAAAAACACTGGGTTAACGTGTCTCAACACAATACTTCAGACATGTATTGGCTTGATAACATTGAGAGATTCTCTCTTCGAGGTGGCCCAAATAAATAAATAGCTATTTTCCATAAGTATGTATTATTGTGTATTGCTCAATTCAGTTACTTAATGCCTCTCAAAGATTAATTCTTCAGTTATATTGTATTGCACTGTTTTTGTGTATCATTGATTTTGTTTGTGTTTTGTTGTACAGTTCTCCTATATCGTCTATGGCTATAATGTATGTGAATATCTAATGCAAGTTTTCTAATTAAAACTGTCATGTGATTGTTTATGTGACCACAACAATAGTTGATGTATGTATTGATTGAATGTTAAATAAATAAAGACAGATGTTGACAATTTATATTGGTATAATGAAATACGATTTTATCACTAGTTGGTTAAAACAAGATTATATGTGACATAATGCCGTTAACTTTAACATTTATTTCATTTATACAATCTCATAATATATGTGACATCATAATCTCAATATACATACGTACACATTAATTAATAAGTACAGGACTACATATTTTCAATATGCATACGCTGTGATCGGTTACACATTATGGGAAAGTTCCTTTAAGGATTCATTCATAAATTATTATTTAGTTAGACATTTATTCACATTCCAAGCCTTTAATCAACTCTCTAGATCATCGGATGGCAGAGATTTAAACAAATTGCCATTTAATGATTTAATTTAAAAATGGCAAATCGATGCTAAGTCTCAAATAACAAGTAGGCTTCCATTGTTACAATAATAAACAATCTATCCCACATCCTTTCAAAACTTCAAACAGTGATAACTTCGCTCAGAATAAAGTAATTTGAATGAAATTTTCAATATATTCATTTTGCATTGTCTATTTTTTTTAACTGTTATTGCAAGAATGGCCAGCTCTTTACGTAATTCTTACATAATGCATCTTTAATGTCAAAAATATTTCATTAAGTCATTATCTGATACCATTTCTCGTTTGAAGAGTTCAGATGTTGTATTGTTGTGTTGAAACCACTGAGTTGGTGACACTGTTGTTTGCCTTTCAGCAAAATCCAGGTCCAACAATTGACCCAGTTAGCTATAAGTACATGTGGGTGTCATGCATGATATAGGATGCTATCAGTTATCAATTGAGTTCACACAGCTGACATACTGAACTTCCATATTGGGTGTATCCAGTAAGATTGCTTCATGAAAGACAAATGAATTAGCAAGAGTTTCTGAGAATAAGACTGTCTGTGACCGCTAACAATTGTTTGTTTCTTTTACAGACTGATGATAAATTACGACGCCATTTGGCAGAAGCCATAGCACGTTGCTGTAACTGGGGTAACAACAGAACAGCGTTTGGTCGTGAAGGAGCCGTGGCACCACTGGTCAAATATTTAAAGTCAAGTGATGAAAATGTTCATCGTTCAACTGCCCGAGCTCTATTCCAACTATCTAAAAATCCTGAAAATTGTATAACCATGCATGAGGCAGGCGTTGTTCAGGTTAGTATATCTATAATACATATAAAAATATTTATAAATCTCTTAAGTACAAGGTTGTAGGCTATGCTTTTAAGGTAGCAACGTGAGTTCACAATTTCAGTAGTGCCTAATCATTTGGATGATTACAAAAACCAAGGTCACCTGCATGTGTGCACATTAAGTGTTCATGTAAAGTAACTTTTCAAGTTGGAATTCTCCTCCTGTGCATTGCACACACAACCAAAGAAACAAAATTAACCATAAGTTAAAATGTATAATTCTTGAAAATTTGATTAACTTATTACAGAACTATTGATATTTTAATCTTTTGTACGATTTTGTATTTTTTAGCCATTAATGAAAATGGTTGGATCTCCAGATGAAGATTTACAGGAAGCAGCTGCAGGATGTATCGGAAATATTCGACGTTTGGCGCTAGCTAATGAACGAGCTAAATATGCATAAAATATCTGTCATTACTAAAGCATTTGTTAAATAGAATACACAATGTTTGATTAAATATTTCCAAAAATAACCTCCAGCATCTGACATTCCAAGGCAGCATTTCATGAAGTTCAAAATGTAACAGTATTGTTAAGGTCAATAGGATATTCTATATACAATACAGTATGTAGGGAAAATATTAATGATAAAATAAGTTTATTATCTACACAATTCATATACAATAAACCATCACTATGTTATTGTAGACATGTATGTATTTGAAACTGTTGTATTGGGTATCTAACATATTTATCTGCTAGACAATAGAATATAGTTATTAATATTAATAGGTGTTACTATCATTGATAGGTAGGAAGACATCATTCAAGGATTAATAAATCTGCTGACAAATTGTGATAAAAGCTGATAATTGTATAAATTCTGTTATTCCAAGTAGATACAGCATTATTTATTTTGTTATATTTTTTTATATGTTGTTTTATTTGTTACATCTATCTCTGACCTGAATGGCTAGTTGAACCATTATGCAAATTGTATATTTAGTAGGGTTTCTAACATACATAATAATAATAAAGAATTTTACAGTTGAATATGATATAGATTTCAAAACAAATACTGAATTTATTCAACCCAGTTTTTTTGTCAAAAGTATAATGTCATATTATATTAGACTTGCTTAAACTGCATAAATGTCTATTGGTTTAAACACCGTAAATAATGAATGTCATTTTCTAGAATTTACAATTAATCATTATATAATGCCTACTGTCAAATGTAGGTCACTGTGAATAACTTGTGCTATACATGACTACTGTGATAAAATGTGAATGAATAAATTATTGTAAACAATATAATTATGGTTCTGCTTGTACACCAAAATTAGATTTGTTTAATGATAAGTAGTAAATACTGCAGCAGGCTTTAATCTATGTATTATAGGGAAATATGGTTACTATGGGGATGCTTGATTCACAGTCCAGAATGTCTGAATTGACAGAATTGCAATCGAGTAACGCATAATTCAATCCTGTCACAGTTTTGACAGTCCCGACCACTGAGGTGGTGTGAGTAGAATCGTGTGAGTAGAATCGTGATGTAATTGACAAAACGAATATGTTTTGGCTGCATGGTTGGTCGAGATATTTATGTATTCTGTGGACGCATTCATTGTTGCCTGAAATTCCCCTTTTCACTCGATTGTCACTATTTTTGGGATTGAGAGAATTCAATTCCAGAACGTTCAATCGACTACCCATTTCATTGCTGAAATTAGACAAAGAGGAGTCCTTGACTATTCTATTTAGCTATTCCACCTGGGAGGCCCCTCCCATTCCACCACCCTCACAACAAGGGAAAGATGTTTAAATTCTGTAATAAATAATTCCTCCTAGAAAGCATATTTGAGACAATAGTTCATGTAAGAGGCCCCCTAGATTTGGTGGCCCAAGTCTTCACCATGCCAAGGTAAATCTGGCATTGACTTTATTGTAGGCACATTTGATAGAGAACACTAGTGTACAACATACTAGTAATTATGTCAACATTGTGAAATGAGCCCCTAACATATTGCTTCTTGGATGTTTTATATTATTAAGTATTTCAATTTGTCAGAAATATCAGTGAGACTCCTTATGTCAGGATGACGGTTGCCACCAACTATATAATGCTGCTTCCAGTTCTCACAAATTCTGTACAGGGGAGTCCATAATTGCCTGTATTCGGTTGATTTAAATCCTTACTCATGAGGGTAGATCTGTTTTTTGCCGTCCATGTAATCAGGCCTTGCAGTGGTGAGTGTTGGTCAAAATCGAGGGTATAACAACTGATTCCATGACAATGTACTGCCGCCTTTAATATTGTCTGGTATGTCAAAGATGCCTATCTTGCAATCGTGCGAGACCATACCCCACAGAACTTCATGGTTCTAGAAGCCGCCACACCAATCTGTGACATTGAGCAGAAATCCGACTAATGGAGAAGCGGATGCTCAACTACGACCTCCGACTCCTATCCCAGTTGACGGCTAATAGCGATCTTTGCGCTTCTGACAATTTCCTTCGCACCATCTTCACATATAATGAGTCTTAGTCTATATTGCAAGAAACAGATTTTAAAGCCCCTATTTATACCATATAGTATGTCGATGTACATTCTTAATTATGACAAAAAGTGAGGGTATTTGGAGCATTCCAGCAACTCATGAATGATCAAACATTTGTATGGAAGGGTATTAGTGTTAAAATCGCCATTAATATGAAACTCAAAAGTAATTGGGACATAATTTAGGACTTAACTTTTCAATAAATGCCTCTGGATACTAACTTGGACTAAAATATTAAGACAGCTGTACAGGTAAAATAATGTTTATTCAGAGAAAAAGTATAAATAATATATATAGTCAAATATAGCCAAAGTAATGAATATATCATATTTATTTAAACTAAAACTAAAGTAGTTATACATCTCAACTATATGGATCTCTTAAACCTCGGTAAGTAAATATTGTATTAAAACCATGGGAAGTTTGTTGATTTTGCAATGGGATCGATTTTGGCCCTCCCGCTAAGGTTAAAGAAAACACTAATTTATATCTAAGATATACCGAAAAAGATTGACTAGATAAAGTATATTTCATGGAAGAACTTGGATTTATTGCATATCATATCACTGTGCATCTAAAATGACACATAAATAAGTATTGACTAGATTATAAACAAGTATATTTAAATGCCTCTATTATACTGAAGGGAAAACATAGAAATAAAGCATGAAAACGTTTCAATATTAAAACTTAAATTTATGCAAAGCTACCCAATTCTGCAAATGAAATGTAATCTGTAAAACAGTAACCCAGAGTTGAATAATAATTAATAAATGAACAGCCTTATGCAGATTAGTATCATAGATTTAAAACTAAAACAAGATGTAAAATTTAACAATGAAACAACAAACTATACAAATAACCATATAATATAATGTACATTTATAAATAAAGAATATAATACTTTCATGTAAAAACAACCATGCAGTAAACGTGCCATGAGCAATACTTTCAAAATAGCGTTTCAAAAACGTTATTTAAAGGTAATTTGGCTATCTGGGTGACTAGAATTGGGAAGAGTTAAATAATATAAGTGCGAAAGTACAACAAAAATCAGATTCAACCAAAATTATAGATATTGCACTATGTCCCCTTGCCGATAATAATAATAAATATAATATATACACACTGATATTTTACCGCCGTTTTATACCAAGATTGACCAAATGATAAAAATGTAATCAGATAATCTTACAACAATTTAACGCTTGAATTATTTTAGACCTATATATTTTGTTAAACTAATTCAAGTATTATTGTATGTCAGAATAAATAATTTTACAAAGATAGAATTTTATTATACGCTTACGGACAAATGTAGTTTTAAAAAAGAGGAAAAGTACATTTTAGATTAAAGGTAAATGCACGCGTGAGCAATGTTCTGTTTTTCAACTGACGTTCGCTGTTTGTGATTTGTCTATAGAAGCACCATCATCTAAATGTTTTATATTTCAGTTAGCCCATATTCATTGAATCGTGGTAATTGTATGAGAAGTGTTTGTTCCTAATTGAATTTGTTCGTTAAATTGAGTTTGAACATATTAAAATAGACTGTAGCATGACTAAACTAATATAGACGTGATTTACAAGACTTTATATTCTTTTCTGATAGCCATAGCCAAACAACAGGCTAATATAATACCAACAACCTGTAAGATAAAACATCTTATATAATATGTACGTGTTTGAATAAAATAAGATTTACTCATTCTGAAAGTCTACATAGCTTACAACCTATATCATAACCGTTCTAATTTTTATTTTTTTTGGGGGGGGGGGGCGAATGGTTAGCAAGTGAGTGTGATATCATAAGGTCTGTCAATGAGTCAACTGGCGGGGTTTCGATTCCCCGGTTGTACGTGACAAGGAGTAGGGTCGCCTGTCCAACCTCGTGGGTTTTCCGGGTCCTCCGGTTTCCTCCCACTGCTAAAGAACCAGAACCGCGAGCGAATTATTGAGATAAAATTAAATCATATGTTAGTCCCGAAATGACCTAGTTTGTGTCGAGTGGACGTTAATCTCTCTCTCTCTCTCTCTCTCTCTCTCTCTCTCCATTCTATTTTGAAATTTGGTAGAAATCCTCCAATCGGTTTTGAAGAAGATGAGCAATGGACGACGTACAAAACAGAGAGGCAATCTTTTCATAAATAATTAGTCAAGAAAACGAAATTTTGCACAACATGTTAACTTACCTCAACGAAAGCCAGACCAATACCAACTCCTCCAACTAATGCTATCTCATAATCTAGCCACCCAACAAATCCTTCTTCACAGCTCTATATATACACATAATAATGATTACAAAATATAAACATGATTACAAAATATATACATACAAACATAATAATTAAGGGTATTGTATGTAACGGTCATGTTAGCAGGCAACCATGTTATCAAATAGCTCCTAGATGTGTTTACTTATAAAACATTGTCTATCATGGACTACTATAGTTTAGACCTTTGGGGCACTGCCTTTTTAAATTATCTAAGTTGTCGGGTCCGCACTATCAGACATTCACATTATCAATAGAGATGCTGTTTGGTGTGAACAAACACGATTCCATCAAATCATTATGCAGATTCCTTCCAAAGGATCGAATCCCCGGTTGTACGTGACAAGGAGTAGGGTCGCCTGTCCAACCTCGTGGGTTTTCTCCGGGTCCTCCGGTTTCCTCCCACTGCTAAAGATCCCTACACGCAAGCGAATTATGTAAATAAAATTTAAAAAACATATGTTTGTCCCGAAATGACCTGGTTTGTGTCGAGTGGACGTTAAACCCCATTTCTCTCTCTCTCTCTCTCTCTCTCTCTCTCTCTTCCAAAGGACCTCCTCGTCTTCATTAATTCATCGGTACAGAACAGTAGGACATTAAACCAGGGTCGTAACTAGCTCAGAGCAACTAGGGGGCGCGAAGTGTTCTCAGGGGTGCTGTAAAATTGACGGACAATGTATATCTATTTTTTTTATAGTTACGGGCCTGCATTAAACTCTATTTCATACCATTTCCAAATCAAGTTGTGAATGACATCAAATGTGTTTAAACTGAACGACTACAAGGTGAAGGCCTTGCTTGTGGGTACAAAAAACTATCTGCTGAAACCCGAATCAACGACTGTGACGATTGCTGACTCAGATATTCAGCCAAAGATCAATGTTAAAACCTTGGAATTTGTTGGATACAACCTTATCAATGGAAAAGCGTGTCAATTGTCATTTTACTTTCGTCTTCGAGTCATTGCAAACATCCGACAAATCCTGACTAACGGGACAGCACATACTCTTGTACGGTTACTAGTGTTTTCCAGGCTCGATTATTGCAACAGTATCTTGAGTGGCCTAAACCAAACCTTACAAATAGTTCAAAACACTGCCATCGTGATCATAAGCAGAAACTTCAGGTGTTTGCGTATAAGTCCCGTTCTGAAACAAACTTCAGTGGTTGCCAATGAGTTCTAGATTCACGTATAAAATTTTGTGCTACGCGTTTTGATGTTTACATGGATCCACCCAATCTACTTATCTGGGCCCTGTTTCTCGAAATCCTAACTAAAGATAAAACCAATTTTGGTAGATACTTCAATTTTGATTGGCTAAGCACTATAATCAATCTAATATTATCCAATCAAATTACTAAAATTTGGATTTTATCTTAGTTAAAATTTCGTGAAACAGGCCCCAGAACTTATACACATCTACCTAACAGTGATTGTTAGAGATGCCAAATTTTAAATTACAATATTTCGTTTATAAATCTTTCAGATACAATACAGAAATTCTACGGAACAGATTACCACATGTTGTTAAAGGGGCTATCCCGATCTGAACAGAGTCTCAAAAATAAAAGTTCGTGTACGTATGAAATTTAAGAGCCAAAATATGGAGGACTTCTGTATATATGACTTGTCTCAAAATTTCAGCTCAAAATATTGAGTCGTTTGGGCGTGAACGCCAAAACCGCTTATCCTGACATGTAACCCTTTTAGAATTTCGGGTCAATTTTTTCGTTAGATGACTTGATAATCGATTGCCGTTCCTTTATTTAGAGGTCTATACAGTGCATAACCCATGTGCTGTACTTGATAACGAAAGGTAAATTCCACCTACATGCCTTTATCTAGACACCGTACTATACAGCTTGGGACACCGGTCTCCCTTTCCAAATGAAGACTGGCAGGTTTAAGTTGTTTGAAAACGTATCAGGTATATTGAGTTAGTTGCTCGGCCCTAAGGTAGAGTATTTTAAGGGTTTTTAACACAAAATTAAACAGTTTTATTCGCCATAATATAATCGAGATTGGCCCTTTAAAAGCAAATTTGAAAACTCATTTTTTGAATATTGAATGTAAGTGATCAAATTATTTGTATGTAGCCTATATATTGTAAAGTGAAAATAGTTGGGGCCTTGTGAATGGAACCGACGCGATAGAAATATATTATCATTGCTGGGTGACATCTATAGAGTGTGGTTTATAGAAGATATCACAGTGTCTCCAATCAAACGAGACAACAGTTGGTACGCTGATTGATAATAGGAATTTGGCAGGGAGGTATTTTTATAGTACCCTGTCATATGGGATCCAATGACTCCGGATAATTGTCGGAAACTTTCGTGTATCCATGCTCTTGAGTTATTTGTTTCACTATTATGTAGTCATACTTAAAGTAGCTAAGTCTCTAACTCAATTTATCACCCAATAATACATTCTACAGTATATATCGCTTGTGTGATATATTTCATAATCTACTCGTTGATAAAGTAAAAAAAACTCGGCAGAGCCTCGTTTTTTGTTACTTTATCAACTTTTGTTGATATTTTTTTATATCAAAAAAGGCTGGTAGGAGATTCTCTATATCATCCAAAATCTTCGACATTGAAAACACGATTTATTTGTCGGTTTAAATCAACATTGATGTTGTGATCTTACCTGGAAAAGATCGCCTTCTGATATCCAATATTTATGACAAAATAAACATTTTACAATTGGTACACGAATCGTGTACCATAATACGTTTCAGCGATATTTGTAATAAGGGACTCGAGAAACGAGGCTAGGCATATTCCACAAGTCATGTCAAACGGTGAGGCTATATTCTTATCTGTTCGTTCGTTCGTTTCTGGAGTTTTACGTCCACTTCTACCTAAGGTGATATCGTAGACAAATTCTTATCTGGAGAGCATGCGCAATAAATACTATCGGCGTAGGCTGGAATAACCAGACGCTAGAGATTGTAATTCGATTGAGAATACTGGCGTATTTCGCCGAACCTAACTGATTAGAAATTACAGTAAAAGCAGAAACGATTGAATGTAACAATTTATATACATTCATATTACATTATTGTATGCGTTGCGACCCATTTGTGTCAATTTCTAGGTCCCAAATATTAGCGATTTAGCTCCTTTAAGTATTTATAGTATTTCTAACACCTTACTAGGATGTCATTTTGAAGCTCTACCGCTAACATTTATATTTGACATTTGTAAGTGAACTAATTTCATATAATTACTAAATTACTTCTCTTTAAGTCCTTTATCAAAATCATTATACTTATTAAATGCTGTTTCAGTGCACAGTGTGCAAGGAATGTGAATTTTCACATTAATTTGTCCTGTTCTGAGAGATCTTTCTAAATAGTTAACAAAACTATAATTCACACGTAACGTGGCCGTTTCCACGCTTATATATTTTTGATAGTCACGTTTGCACATAATGGAAAATATAAGAGGGAGATGCCAATTTTAGGCCGGTTGGAGATTCCCGAACCTCCCCAACCGGCCTACAATTAGCATCTCCCAATATAAGAACCTTTTCCAGTCTGGTTCGCATTGATATCTGAAACACTTACATGTACAATTCCTTTCCATGCTCACAACCCCTTCAATCTTAAGCTTCACAAATACTAAATAATAAGAGGTTCAATTAATTATTTTGTGAACTTTTAAATCCAGCTAAATCATAGCTTACCTGAGTATAGAATTCTGTTTCATTAAGTGTCTGTGTTCTGTTTGCACATTCGGTACTCTTTGGATCAACACAGCATGATGTAGGAACGAGTTTAGGTGTTAATAAAGAATACCATTCAGTGTAATTCTCCACACCACAACACTCGAACTGAAAAGAAATAAAGTTACTTTACTTTAAACTTTCAAACAGTGAATTTAGATCATAACCTTTAAATTTATATTATTAATAATATATTAATTTATCACTTCAGCCATATCAATGTAAGTCTATAACATACAGGCGGACATTGGTGTACCTTCAACATAATTTATCAATGGCTATATGTGTGAAATAGCTTTATTTAACTTCCGCTTCCACCGGGGTGATATCGCAGACAAAATATAATAGCCTACCCAGCATTTATACCTGGGCCACCTTCTGCTGTTTATACCCCCGTCAGACCGGGTGGCTTCCTTACTGCGCTGCTATGGCGACGAAAAATGGTCTCAGAGCACGACAATATCGCTATAAGCGTAGTAAAAGTGTGATTGAAACGCCAGATATCGTGCTGTGGTCTCCATCATCCCATGGTCGCCAATGATCGCTGAGTTACGACGTTTTAGTTTTTGGCATGTTCAAAACAAAATCCATAGTTCTGCGATCCGACCCGGAAAGCTGTGAAAGCGCGGTGGGCTCGAGGAGGTCGCAAGGCAAGCGTGGTAACATCTCCATGAACGAAGTACACACTTGGCAAGGACACTGTGAAAATTGTAACATTTGCAACGGCGACTTCATGGCGTCTTCACCACGACCCTCGCGTGCTGCCACGACCCCACTAAGCGTTCCACGTCCTTATGGCGTTGTCATGGCGATGTTACGATGCTTTCGCCACTGTTGTAACACGTCCTCATAGGGCCCCAAGTGCGCCTATGACGATCTTATTATGCTGCAGCTGTAAACATCACCAAACGGCGAAGAAGGAGAATGGCAAGGAGGAGGGGGGTAAGGCGAAGAAGATGTTGGGTTAGACCATGGCTGGGTGATGTCCGAAGATCTCAGTTTGGGCACTTCAATCGCCTCATGCCTGAGTTGAGGCACGAAGACCATGTATCTTTCTCAGAATTTTACCGCATATGTTTGATGAGCAGCTCGCCAGGCGTGCCCCAAGAAGGATACCAATTACACAAAAACTATAGATCCAGGGATGAAGCTTTCAGCCCTCTCTGCGCCATCTTCCAGTATGAAGTTTGACTTCGGAATCCCATCTAATACCCTGTCTCTCGTTGTGAAGGAAGTCTGCCAGCCATAATAGATCAGTACAAAAATGAAGTGATCAAGTATACTACCACTCATACAGAATGGTCCGTTCTCCAACTCCTTCACCGGACTTGTTTTTCAAAAGTCGGCCATACCTGGTCCGGATAAACCGGTACCACACCGTGATGTTCAAAACATCTTTGCCCAGCAACGTAGCTTTTTCAACACACAAGCTGTCTTTCTTCCCCTTGTCTTTGTTTGAAGATAGCTTTTTGTTATTTAAGAGGGGGCGTTCTTCCAACCATTCAACCATGGATTCTTCTTCTTGTATATTAAGGTCAATCAAGCCTCCAGCTTTCTTGCTCGGTACCATCTGGGTGAGAGTATCACACCGACGGGGTGTCAGACTCTGCTAACCATTCTTGGAGGCGGTCTCTGGTGATGAGGTGGGAGCTTGTAAGGTTGATACTGTCCGAGATGCAAATCTGTCTCGGACCACTGGCACTGCAACGTCCTCTAGTAGCATGTTTCTTTGGCATCGTGTGTTTGCTAAACGCACAACTGCACAGTATGACTGCACAATGATCATCTTGAAATTTTCAAAAATCTGGCCAGCTTATATAGTCCCCGTAATCACGTGGTAGAAACGCACGTGCAGTCGTGATACACGTAGAAGACTTTTAGTAAGAACCCCATGAGCGTGGTTAGAGCACCGCGGGTTAGCCGATGATCGCCGTGGAAAAGCCAACCGAGCTCAGTAAAAACGCCATAAGCGAGGAGAGGTTATGACGGGCGCGCCGTGAAAGCGCGGTATAATTCCATAGTTTGTAATTTTTGGGGCATTTTCTCGCGTTGTGTTCACGTTTTCCTGCGATCTTGTGCATTTTCTGGTCGCCGAACGGTAGCAGCAGCCCAATAAGGAAGCCATCCAGGTCTGACGGGAGCATTACCACAAAGATACGAAACATTGTGTTAAGACCTTTATCGTGTGGTAAATCTTCATTTGGGGCTATGATATTAAAACTAAGGCCACAAAATTAATATTAATATTAACAATTTTTGTTGGTTGATGATTGGAGCACAAGTGTCATTTCGTGTCAAATCCCCCAATGAAGTAAACCGTACCCTCGTCCATTTTGCTGAAATTTGGATTTTATAATTATTCTGGCTGGTAAAGCTGATATTCTGCACGTTAGTGTGGTCGGAATAACCGTTCAAGAGATAGCGTCCTCGCTAGAGATAAGAGGACATAATTTATAGGTGACACTATAGAGAAGGCGGTCCCACGTGACGTTGTTGTTTACCATACAGCATTGTTTTCCTGTACATTAATACGTTCTGGATGATTTGATAAACGTTAGTTTTTGTCATTGAAATCGTATTTAATCCCGATAGATCGAAATACAGTTCTCTTACCAACAATAAGTACACGTACGCATGGTTAGAATTCCTTCATTGGCCGTATGATCTTTACTTTGACGATCTTGAATTTGTCTTTGTGGCCCACGTGTCATTTAGATGACCTTTGTTGACATAATTAGCCTTAGGTGCTTTCTACACAATATCAATAGTGTTTTATTAGACTGGAGAATCAACCCAACATGCATACCTGGTGTCAAAAATCCATTTTCATCGGAGTTTAAGCAGGATTATGTTTAAGGTAAAGTTTTGAAGATATGTAGTAGGTCATCTTTTTTATTGGTCTAGTCCTATGAAGCTTACTATTTCATTTTGGTCATGTAATATTTGGAATCCTTGTGGAATTACTGTTCCAAAAGTACCCATTTCAGCAATCTGACCAATCGGTTACTGAGCTATGGCCATTTGAATAACACCCATTTTGGCAAGCCCATAGTCCGATGAAGCTAAAATTTTGAATTTCAGCGTTTCAACCGAAATAAGCACATGGGACCAATTTCAGCAATTTTTTTTCCCTTTTTTGAAGTGATTTGAAACAGAATGATCCACAAATAATGATCAAAACTACATAACTTTTTCATTTACAGCATTTAAACAACCTGAATTAACTGCGACACACCTATTGATAATACAGTTTAAAAAATTAACGTTTAAAGCTAACCTTTTGTTGTAGTTTATCCCACGCTTTCGTTACACCACCTTTTCCATCCTTTCCATAATTATGCTCAGCGCCCTTCAATATGACGACCACTTGATCGCGCATCTAGACAAAAAAAAAAGAGTTGCACTTTTACTTTATTACCCCACCTCCTTTGATAGTGAAACATGAATAACGACCTGTCAAATTACCAATAACTATCGGTTCTTTTCGGTACGCCATAAAATAGGATTGGAAGTATTATTGCTGTAAGAACGATATGTCAATTCACAACAGAGCTGAAGTGACGTCTTCATAATTATATTCTCGATGATTAATTATAGCTGTCCAGGCAGAGCCGTAGATTTCCTTTTTGTTCGGGGGGTGGGGGGGTAGCAAAAATGAGACAGACTGATCCGAACTTTTTGAATTTGAATCCAGAGTCCCAGAAATGCCATTTCCATGAGTACTACGCATGGGAATTCATGTTATTTATTAAGAAATTTGCAAAAACATACAAAGGCCTTTTGATCTGTGACAACTTCTGAAAATGATAATTACTTCATTTACATGGACCTATATCTTCCATATTGTTGTGGTGAATATACATAAATTAGCAAAGATATGACTATGTCCTCATATTTTCATGAAGCGTCCGCGCTGAGTCAAATTTGATTACCGATCGGTGTCCATCAGGTCACGCCCACACACAAGAGTCATTGAGGCGTATAACAATTTTACTAATTTGAGCTTTATAAACTGGCGCGTATTGTGATAAACAATCAAAGCAATCATAATCGTACATATATAAAGTATTTGGGATTTTTCCCTTCTATTTTAGCATTGTTTGTTTATCTGTATAACTTTTTTTAGACCGACTATTTTTTTTTCCTGCCCCCACCCTACACACAGGCATATTTACACCCCTGAGTTCAGGTTGTTTTCCTTGCAAGTTTAATTTGAATTATTCAATTTGAATTTATTCCCCGGCTGTACGTGACAAGGAGTAGGGTCGCCTGTCCAACCTCGTGTGTTCCTCCGGGTCGTCCGGTTTCCTTTCACTGTTAAAGACCCCTACGTGCAATCGAATTATTGAAATAAAATTGAACCATGTGTTAGTCCCGAAATGACCTAGTTTGTGTCTAGTGGACGTTAAACTCATCTCTCGTCTGCGTTTAACTAAAGGTATAGGTATGATCAAATTACTGATATTTTAACCACGCCAAAGAACTACTTTAATTTATTCTTGTGTTGAAAGTTGTTGTATATATTCAAGTATGCATTGTCAGTATTTTTATTAATGTATTTCCAACCCACGAGAATATTCATAAATTATTCATAATTACTCCGATTTGCTGATATTCTAAACGTCGATAACGTATTTTTAATGATAGCTACTCGTACGTCAGTTTCTGTATAAATTATGAATAACCATTCAGCGTAGGGTTTTTATTTAACATGAGCGCTGGATAAAACTATAAACACTTTATGCAGCCGAAACTACATGATCAGTTCGCTATGAAACCTTAAACCAGTTTCGTTTACATTTCATGTCAAAATTAAAATTTGGCCTTTTCCAGGTGAAATCCTTCGTTTTATACTGAAATAAACTACACCTACACTTTCTCGTAAAACAAATCCACTTATACCAGCAGCTATTTGAATAATGAAGATAACACCCAACAAAACCGCAAACTGAAAAACAATATTTTATAGGTAAATACATTTATGGCCCTTAAAGAATGTTGAATGCCTTTATTTGTTTGTTTATTAAATTAAAAAAATACACTTGCATGCTCAAATCCTTCAAGTGAAAGAACCTGAACACTGCTTCAATTATCTAACCATAAGCTAAATTTTAAAAAATGCCTAGAGACATGATCAGCTGACAAACCCCGTTTTGTTTCAAATGCACCCAAACAACAATAAGTTACCGTCATAATACAGCAGTAGTTCTCTTTCAGTGCACCACAACATCCGAAAGTTGCGACAATAAAAATGACAAAACCGATCACTATTAGTACTATTCCTGGTCCTGCAAACTGATTCCCAAAGAAATCAAAGAACTCGCTTAGTTGGACCTGTATGTAGATACCGAGACCAATCAGTCCACATGCTACTAGCTGAAATTATAAATATACATGAAACATAATTAAATGACCGGTTCAATATTTACAAAACATTACGTTAAACAGTTCTATCAAGTTTTATCATGTTTCATAAAAATGTGTTACGTTGTTCCCTAATACATAATTCTGTTTTATTACATAATTCTGTCTTATTACATTGTGTTATGTGTTATTGGATACTAATGTGTCTTTAATATTTAATATTGATATTATTAAATATATTTAAATTTAAAAAAAATGTATCTTTTTGTCTTATTACTTGTGTCATATCTCATTACATGTGTTCTGTCTTATTGGATAATAGTGTGTCTTATTGGATAATTGTGTTTCTCATTGGATAATTGTGTGTATTAGTGGATAATACTGTGTCTTATTGGATATCGCTGTGTCTTATTTATTACACTAAAGTTTGTTTATTTCTTCGCATACCGCTTTGTACTTGTTTTTACTATGCGATTTTATATTAAACTATACATGTTTAAGATTTACTGCACTGTGCTATGTTCACTCTATCTCGCTACACATTACATAGAGCTACACGGGGCAGTACATGCCAACTATTTCTAGAACAATATTTCTTCTTTAAAAGAGTTCACATAGCTTTTGTTGTACTTCAATATAACTATTGTACTATATTGTGTTTTTATTACATTGATTGCCCGGAAGACAGGATGTTTTCAACACTCTTTACATTTTCTTTTTATATATTACCCATTTTCAGGTCATATACAATATTACTGTTACTTGATATTATCAAAGTATTATATGTTTTAAATTGTAATATTAAACACATTTATATCGATTTTTGTTTACTTAACCGTCAGCCAGATTGAAAAGCTAAGCACGGGTTTTGTGTTTCTATATAATGTTATCTCAGTGACGACATTTCTATCATTATATACTATTCAAAAAAAGTAGGGGATATTTGATTTTTAAGTGTTATTAAAGTCACCTAATGAAACTGACGAAGAAACAAATGACAAAATGAAATGAAGTTCACATTCATCGATTTATTCCAAATGATCGTTAGACTAAGTAAGGCACAGACTGACCATTATAAGGGTAAAATGATACCCGGGGTCAAACAGCAAAGTTACCACAGCATCACAACCAAGTCAGTAACGGGTAAATCCTCCTCTGTTTGCCAAACAAGCATTGATCCGACGTGGCATACTCCTAATGAGACGTCTAAGGTCATTTTGGTCCAGATTGTCCCATTCCTGTTGCAACGCAGCAGCAAGTTCTTGGACATTGGCAGGACGTTGTTGACGTTGACGTAACCTCTGTCCAAGCATGTCCCAGACATGCTCGATGGGGGAGAGGTCGGGACTCAGTGCTGGCCAAGGTAATGTGGTGATGTTCTGTTGTTGGAGGTAACCTGTAACGATCCTGGCCCTGTGACATCTTGCGTTGTCATCCTGGAAGATGAAACGGCGGCCATGACGTCGTGCGAACGGCACAACATGGACTGCCAAGATGTTGTCCCGGTAGTACTGGCCTGTAACACGCCCTGCAACAACATGTAAAGCCGTTCTTCCAGCAACAGTGATGCCTCCCCACACCATAACAGAACCACCCCCAAATCGATCATGTCTGATGACGTTAACGTCTTGGAAGCGCTCGTTTCGACGACGCCACACCCTCCTACGTCTGTCCAAAAAATCAACAGTGAACCTTGACTCATCTGAAAACATCACATTGCTCCAGCGTCGATTATCCTAGTGTTGACGATCCCTACACCAACGACGTCTTGCCTGAATGTGATGATCTCTCAAACAAGGGATCACGCGAGGACGTCGGGCGCGAAGGTGACCCCTATGCAGTCGATTCCGAATCGTCTGGCCACTCACTCTCACACCAGTGTCTGTTTGAAGACGAGCGCTGATCTGATTTGCTGTGATGACACGATTTCTCAAGGCCAAGGTACGGATAAATCGATCCTGGGCTTGAGTTGTCGCCCTTGGTCGACCTGAGCGTGGTCTGTCCTGTACAGATTGTGTATCACGGTATCTGGACCATAGCCTGCTTATGACAGACTGAGAAACATTCATCGTCCGCGCCACAACCGCCTGTGTTGTGCCGATCTGTAGCATGCCAAGGGCACGTAACCTTTCATTTTGGGTAAGCCGACGCATATCAAAATTTGTTTTCTGGTCACTAAAACAATTAAACTGATGTTTCCACCCTGGAATTCAATGCCACAATGACTGTAACATTCAAAGTCAGAGTCGTGCAAATCTTGGGTTGGACCACCATGATGATCCCAAGCATCACCTGCATTCCATGCGGTAGCTATTGGTGCGTTTGGACGTCACATGTAACTGGAAATGTTTCTTCTGTTAGGTTCTATAGTGACTTTTTTCGTAGTCATTTGCATATTTTAGTATTATGCCCCCAAAATCAAATATCCCCTACTTTTTTTGAATAGTATATGTTAATCTTTTATTACATTTATGGTGGGGTGGGGGGGGCGTTTATGTCAAGGGAGCCTTGGTGGATAAGGCACTCGCTCATTAACCAGGTGGTCCGGGGTTCGAGAAAGTTCCCCGGAATTTCCGTGTTATCGGGCCTACCAAGGACAATGTCTAGTCGTGCGGATGGGGCGAAAACTGAGATCTCTTGTATACTTTGGCTTGCACGAAGAAGAACCCTTGACAGTTGGAATTCGACGCATTACGTAACGCCGCTGTCGTGGCATAATTTCCCTTATTGCACACTGTGTCTGTCTTCATTAGTCAGTTCGGTGTAGAAAAGTAGGACGTTAAACCCCATTTCATTTCATTTCTTAAGTGTTTTATTAAACTGTCGAACCCTGTATACTTTCAAGAAATAGTTATTAAAACATACATTTATTTGTAAACTTTCAGAATCACACAGGATTGCGATTTTAAATTCTTCTGCTATCTGTATGTATACGACCTTGAACTTTTGATTTGTACGGATTACTATAGCTAACAAAATATGCAAAAATTCGACGACCTTTTTTTTCTATTAACGTTTAGAGAAAAAATATAACTAACTTATTTCTATGAGATCCACACTGCCCGAAAAGTATTTTCTCGTCTTTTTCTTGTCCACTGCATATGCCCGAAAATATGCCCGAAGCTCTCTTATGATAGGTTTGCCCGAAAAAACGGTATTGCCCGAAAATAGGTATTGCCCGAAGAACGGGCATCGGGCCGGAAAGCGGCAGAGGAAACTAGCAGTAAAACGCGTTTGCGACCGTCAAATATTCCAAAATTTTCTTGGCGGGTCATTCGCCTCTCAAAGAAAACCGGCGCCGCTGTCTATAAATCCGAAATTTTTCGGGCATTTCTAGTTTTGCTTCCCTAACTGTCACCGAGCCCTAATAAAACACTAATTTTACTTTTCTTGTAATTGAATATCACGAATTTGTACTGAGTTGACTATGGATTAAAACATTTTGTCTGGAGCCACTCTACTTTGTGCGACATTTTTCAGGCATCGATTATTATTTGTGCATGCAGATGCAACAGTCTGATTGGATGGTTAGAATTCAGAGTGGGATTTCAGTTACAAAACCATTGGATACTTTTGGAGTTGCTTACACGGGCTAGAATAGCAGAAAACGCATTTACGGTGATTAAATTTTCAAATTTTTCTCCGGGAGGGTGAGGCCTTCATATACCGCGCGACGATTGATTGGTTGTTTGGAATTCGGGTCAGCCAGGTAGGCTATATTGGACCAAATTGAAGTTACTGTATTCACAGACTGGAATAACAGGAAAACGCGTTTGCGGCAGTTACATTTTCAAAATTTTCTCCCAACGGTCCCGTCTTCGTTGACTGTAAACGATTGATTGGAATTCGAGTCAGCCACCTTAATAAGGCTATAATATATATTCGACCACTTTGAAGTTGCTTTGTTCACCGGCTGAAATAGCAGGAAAACGCGTTTGCGATAATTAAATTTTCAAAATTTTCTCCTAACGGTCCCGTCTTCGAGGACTGTAAACGATTGATTGGAATTCGAGTCAGCCTTAATTAGGCAATATTAGACAGCTTGAAGTTGCTTTGTTCACTGGCTGAAATATCGGGAAAACGCGTTTGCGGCAGTTAAATTTTCAAAATTTACTCCTAACGGTCCCGTCTTCGAGGACTGTAAACGATTGATTGGAATTCCGAGTCAGCCACCTTAATTAGGCTATATTAGACCACTTTGAATTTGCTTTGTTCAACGGCTGCAATAGCAGGAAAACGTGTTTGCAGCCGTCAAATATTCCAAAATTGTCTTTGGGGGGAGGGGGGGGGGGGGGTATACAAGGTCGCTGCTGTCTGTAAACCCGAAATTTTTTCGGGCATTTCGGGTTCTGCCCCGCTAACTGTCATCGAGCCCCTACGCCTATGTATGCAATATTCTTTTACAACAGAATGATAATTTGTCGGGTAGAGTCGGAAGGCATGAGTTCATTTTGATATCCAATTCGACAAAAACTGCAATCACCAATTGATTGATTTTTTTTTATACACATTAGATATAAAGATATAGTTTGACACCTGGTTTCGACATAAACATTTTTGACGTCAAAAAAATTAACCGGCTTTTAAATAAACATCGCCAAGGACCTTACTGGTGATCTGGCTTAATTGATCTACTGGGGAACCACCTACAATAAATCGGTTGGAATTCTATGTTTAAAAGTAATTTATACATCGCCCACATTTCAATACGTTTTATATGTAGAAAGTAAAAGAGAATATTGATTAAAAAAAAGCTGTAATATTTGTACAACAGCTGGCTACATCGTTAAACGTTTCTTTTATCGATTTTTATAACTTCGCTTTATTTAATATATATCTTTCAGCTGATATCTAATAGTAATTATAATCAAAACATTCTCTTTTTCACATTTTTCACAAAAAAAGTAGAATTTCGTTTGTTTTATTTATCTTTTAATTTCTTTCTTTATAATTACTTTTAGCCTTAGTGGGTTGCTGAATGTGGTTTTCGTTAGATCGGATTTTTAAGAACAGATTGTGATTGGGCAATGAAAGCTCGTCGAATAATCACATTCTTTAAACCAGAGCAACCTAAAACCATAGCAGTGTTAGTTGGGAGTAATAAGCTAAAGGCATACGTTTATTTATATATCTTTAGCACAGAATTTTTTTTATTTTTTTTATTTTTGTATTAATTATGATTATTATAATACAAATCATTATGTTGGGGTATATGTTATATTATGGATAATGACCAGACTTTTAAATCAGTTATTAACTTTACTTATTTTGCATTAAATTCAAACCTAGCTGTTACATTCATAAACTATGACATTTCTATTAATGTCACAATTACTAGCAGTCCCATACAAAAGCAAGCCAATCGCATAACAAATTTAAATTTGATTTCATTTGGTTACTAGCGCAGAACTGATTTTAGTTATAATATATTTTCAACCAGAAATGAAAAATAATAAGTATATATCTTGAAGTCACAAATAATATAGTATTTTAGTACAAACTGTAATACAATCTATTATTCTTGGGCGTTTAGCTTCAGAAAAACCTATTATGGTATTATGTTAGAAACAATTTAATATTGTAGACGTTGGCGCATCAAAACATTCTGGCTTATTTAGCTTAAAGATGCATTATATGCAAGCTTAATGCAGATCTTTCTTTTGGCCTCAGATGTTATATAATTATTAATTAGACATTTATTCACATGTCAAGCCCATAACCAACTCTCTAGATCATCGTCTGGTTGTAATTTTGAGAGGACTGAAACCCGGTCGCCATTTAATAATTCAATTTAATAATGGATATTCGAGATTTTGTTTATAATCGTAACAATGATAGCAATAGAAATCAAGCTATTCTTCAAACAGTCATAATGAAGTAATTTGACTGAAATTTTTCAATATATTCATTTTTCATTATCTATATTATACTATTCTAGTGAAAACTCTCAGCTCTTTATCTAAATGTATAATGCATCTTTAACGTTGCCCGATTACACCCGTTTTATATGAATAGATTTTGTCCCATAACTTGTATAATTATATATGGTGACAAGATTACACGATTTACATGAATACATTTTATCCTATAACGTGTATAACGTGTGACATGATTACATGATTTTACATGAATACATTTTATTCTATAATGTGTATAATGGTGACATGATTACATGATTTTGCAGAATACATTTTTGTCTGAAGGATAAGTGTATAAAATTAAGCCATGATTACATGAATATTTGTTTTCTTGTCAACTGATAAATGGTAAGATTTTACTCGTTTTTTCTTACTACTTCAATTTATGTTTACATGACTATAATTTGTCAGGCGATACGTTTCAAGTCAGTAGCTTGAAGCGTATATATGGTATTAGTGTCAGTGGCCTGTGGCACGAAGTAACAGTATATTGTCGCATACATAATATATTATGTCAACGCTTGGGCGATATAATATATTATGTCAACGCTTGGAACTAGGATGGAGGTGACTAGGCATGAACTTGCAACGATAGATTTAATTGGCGCTTTGATAACCAATGAATGCTTGTTTTTTTCTTTTCTGTTTTTTCTCTCTTTTCTGTGTCCTAACCCTAACCCTAACCCTAACCCTAATCCGAAAGAAAAGTGCCCTTTTTTGAAATTCTGACATCACAGGTGCCCTTTTTCTGATAAGGATGCCCTCTTTTATTTACAGGGACACTTTCTATGGCTCTGATGACGCGTACATTCCACTGAGTCTACAGGTCTAATATGCTAACACGCTTGGAGCGTCAACACAATATATTATGTCGCCCAAGCGTTGACATAATATATTATGTATGCGACAATATACTGTTACTTCGTGCCACAAGCCACTGACACTAATACCATATATACGCTTCAAGCTACTGACTTGAAACGTGCAGGGTGAATTTGTCGTATTAAATTGATTAAATGATAACAAAACATCCTGAATACGTTATGTCTTTACAAATAAATACATGATAAGATCACAGCCATGAATACGTTTTCGTCACCATGGTTTAAAACTGCTTGTGTAGTTGTTTTGTTCAATTTATTGATGTATTGTATGTATCTTTAATCATTATTAACTTGTTTTAAAAACAAAATATATCTAATACATCCACTCACGTACTTATTTCAACCACCTTTCGTACACGATAAGCGACTGCTATTTATTATTTTTAAATTCTTCGGAATAGGTTTTTTTTCTGGGTGGTTGGATGGCCGAATAGTTAGCATAGGGTATCATAAGTTCTGTCATTGAGTCAGCTGGCGTGGTTTCGATTCCCCGGTTGTACGTGACAAGGGGTACGGTCGCCCGTCCAATCTCGTGGGTTTTCTCAGGGTCCTCTGGTTTCCTTCCACTGCTAAAGACCACAAGGCACAAGTGGATTTAAAATTGAACCATATATTAGTCCCAAAATGACCTTGTTTGTATCGAGCGAACGTTAAACACCACTCTCTCCCCCCCCCCTCTCTCCTAATGCAAATAGTTTTACGCCCCCCCCCCCCCCCCCCGCCGCCGATATATAAATTAACAAAGTTTCAAATCGTATTCTAAACGTGGGAGTTATTTTCGATATATTTCATATTATCCACCCACTATGTGTGGATATTGATAACTTACAAAGATATTTACAATGGTTATTTATATTCAACGATTCTTTTGATTTATAGATTTAGAAATACTTGGTGTTCAACTGCAGTTATACATTACATTTTTTGTATATTTCACTTTCGTGGTTTATAAATGATAACTTTCCTAATCACAATTATAAATTTCGGGTTCTTCTTTATAAAATCGCGGTATTTATTTCAAACACAAACCCCTGTTTTACAATTGATTTATTTACACCATGTTGAGCTTATACGTTTTAAGATAATCAATATGAATTATTGTAAAACTGTCGTCTTGTCATGGTTCCCTACTAATAGGTGTATCCGGTACAAAACAAAAGTTGCCCGTTTATCTAAATAGCCAATATCCGGGATTTGTTTTCAAAGGGAGGAAAATTTGAAACTTTGCGTTCAGCCTTGGAGAAGATAGTAACATTTAACAAATGTTAATAGAATATATTTCAATTTGGTAATATGGAAGGTGATATAGGGATTTGGAAATACGGTTAATTGCGAAGGTCGAAAAAGTCACAAAGTTACTTACCACGAAAATAAAATTGAAAGCGAAAATAATAAATTTGATGCATTTCATACCACCGCCTTCTACCATCTTGACGGCTTCTTAGATTTCCCAAAAATACAACCTCTTTACTCCAGCACAAAACAGGCTACTGATTGCTAGACACAGCAATGTATATATTTGGTGACACGCGACACGTGGTAGGTATATAGCTTCATGTATATAATCAATAACTATATGTATTGTATGTAGAAATGTTTATGTGGACTACCATATTGGTAATAAACGCTGTTTAAATGTTACTCTTTCATTTACATAACCATAGATAGGCAAGATTACGTAGCAAAGAGTTGATTATTGAAAAAGTTGAAACGTTTCGATGAGATATCAAACCATTACAATTTCCTCAGTTCTGAGCAAAAAATGTGAATTCTGAAAGATAGGATCATAAATTAAAGTATGTATGGTGAATAGTAAAAGGAAATAACACTAGAAGTTATTATGGGAAATCATTGAAAATCAACTGCCAGTTCAACACAATCTGGTTAAAATACAGATCTATATTTCGTTTCGTTTTTTATACGTCCACATTCATAATGGACGTAATATGCTGATCAGTTGTAGTGGTATGTAGCGTCAGGGGTCATACGAGCAGCTTTTGACCCTATGACATCAAACACTGCCCACTTCCGGGTCAATGTTCGGACCAACTACAAGCTTCATCAACGCTTTAGGGCCACCAACACCACAGATGGTCGTCCCCTAACTGGTAGAACGAGGGTTACCAAAAATCGACAAGACCGGCATGTTGTGCGACAGCACGTACAGAATCCCTTCACACAGGCATCTGGGACAGCAAGTCAGACAGTGGGAACACACGGAAGACCCATCAGTACCTATACAGTGCGCCGACGTCTCACCAGAGAGAACATCCATTGCCGTAGACCTTACCGTGGATCGATCCTCACCCCTCGCCATCGATGTGAACATCTACAGTTTGCCCAACAACACCAGAACTGGAGACACAGGCAATGAAGAACTGTTCTGTTCACAGACGAGAGTCGGTATTGCGTATCAACTGTAGATAGCAGGACCAGAACATGGCGTCGACGTGGCCAGCGTTATTCTGACCATTGTGTCATGGAACGAGACTCATGGGAAGGTCCAAGCATAATGGTTTGGTTCCACAATTTTGGTCCAGGGAGATGAGGCGGCATCACAGCAGTGCGCTACATCGATCAAGCTCTCAGACCCCACGTCATACCACATTTCGCACGTCATCGAAACAACGTTTTCCAGCATGACAACGCCCGTGCCCACACCGAAAGAGTTACTCGGGACTTTCTACGTGAGAACGGTGTCAACGTTATGCACTGGCCAGCCCTTAGTCCGGACTCAAACCCGACTGAACATCTTTGGGATGAAATTCAGCGGAGACTTAATAACGTCATACCAAGTCCAAACACAGCCGATGGATTGCTCCAGGTTTCTGGGAGTTTGGTTCCAGGTGCCACTGGCGTTCATCAATCGTCTGGTCCACTCCATGTACAGACGCTGTGCTGCTGTTATTGACACTCGCGGTTGACACGTTAGATACTGATGTGTACAGACTCTAAACCTACTCGTAATATCTTGGAATTGTGATGAATTAATCACTAATGTGTCAACATACTGTTCACAAAAAATTGCTTTGATCCATTTAGTAAGTCGTTTTCTGGAATGATTTGATTAAAGTGCCTCTCTGACGTTTTATTGGTTTTGTTTGCTGTTTAGTAAATATCAACGCTTCCAGATCCTAGTGGAGTAAAGACAATTTTGAACAATGAAAAACGAAACGAAATAAGATCTGTGTTTTAATCAGATTGAGTTAAACAGGATAGACTCGGCTAATGAAAATGGACATACACGATACAGTGTACTATGAAGGAAAATTTGCCAGGACTTCCTCGCCCCGGCTTACTCTTGCACTGAATTCCAACTGCAAAGGGATATTTTACGTGCAGGCCAATGTGTACACGGGACTCGGTTTTACATCCCATCCTAACGACTAGACAGTTATCCTTGTCAGGTGACAAGAGGAAACCACGCCGGAAAATCCCGATAAACTTTCTCGGTCAACACCGGGAGCGAACCCGCGACCCCCAGGCAAACGAGTCAGCGTCTTACCCACTTATCATTTATGAGCGTATCACCAAATTCGAACTCAACCGTACTTATGATGAAACGATGATATTTTTAAAATCAAATAAAAGTTTTTTTTCACCAGCTAAAAATGTGACCTTTCGCACAATCTTGGGTCTTAGTCGGCAGGAAGTTACAGCTCCATATTATGTACCAATGTCGTAAAACATATGTTTGGTATTTTACTACTATCTGTTCCAGGTGATATGGCATTCTCAAAAGTCAAATTAGCTAATCTAAGACTAGAATTTCTCTTCATCAACGATTAAAATTAAGTTTTAAATTTGATTGTAAATCAAACATTTAAATAGCTGATTTAATATAATCATTAATTAAAGAGTTTTTGTTTATCATTGATGAAAGGGGCCAGTTTCCAAACCTGGGGTTCAAAGTGATCAGTAGAGGGTTAGCAGGGAGAAGCGGGCCCGTGGAAAAAGATATCCAAGTAAATTAGAGTATGCAAGTTTGTAGTTGTTATCCGTCACATTTCCCGACAAGCGACCTAGTTGAGTTCACAATGGAGGAGGTGCGGAGGTGTAATTGTCTTCACTACAATAGAAAATTTGTATTTTATCATTATTTGTCAATTTGGTATAAACTTGCAATATTTCTATTTAAAGGGGATTTTAACAGTCTCAGAAACAAAAGTGTACGTATGAAATTTAAGCGCCAAAATATAGAGGAATGGTGTATTTACCTTGTAAATTTCAGTTCGAAATACAGAGTCGTTTGGACTTCACGTCAAAACCGCTTATCCGGATACGCAACCCATTTAAGATTTCGATTCAATTTTTTCGTTGGGTGACCTGATAATCTATTGCCGTTCCTTTAGAGGTCTATACAGTGCATAACCCACGTGTTGTACTTGATAGCGAAAGGTAAATTTCACCAACACGTTATTTTATTAAATAAAAGCCTGGTTTTGACCATTACAGACACCCAATAATATATCTTGGGACACCGATCTCCATTTCCAGATGAAGACCCACGGATTTAAGTTGTTTGAAAACGTATCACGTATATTGAGTTAGTTACTCGGTCCAAAGTTAAAGTTTTAATGGCTTTTAACATAAAACTAAGTAGTTTTATTCTCCAAAATATATTGGAGTTTGGCCCTTTAAGTAAGACTCCAGAGGTAGGTCGGTCACCTGGAAGATGAAAATGTAATTATCATGTCATTATATAAACATCAAATGTGTCTATTTCATTTTTCCATAGAACTAGAATACTAGTTCTATGATTTTTCGATGGGATTTAATTGGCCGTTTAGATACTGCTTTGCAATTTTTATACATACATCTGAGTGCCAATTACATAACATTTCATGAGATATATTCAATATAATATCGTTTATTATATAAAAACACGAACATTATGATTGTAATTATCAAGCTTCAAAGACTTAAAATACTATTATTGAGTTGGCTCCGCTTGGAGCTTGGCTGTTTTCGATTAACATCTCTTTGTCGGAAATATTGTGTGAACATAAATGAAACTATTTTAATGCAACGAATGTCAATTCTATAGTCGACCCCGACTCGTGTAATTTTCTCTACATAATCGCTTGAAAGTGTCACCAAATATGCTTTCCTCGATACGCACGAGAAGACTTTAGCTTGGCTGATACCGACCCCACCCCTTTTGAAAAACCATGAATCCACCCTACTGATGAGTTCGCTTCCAAGTGTCCACGAAAATGTCAGTTTGAATTCAGATCAACATGATTTTGGATAGTGAAAAAAAAAAAAATAAACGAATACTTATGTGATGAAAATAATTTCTTTTTGATATTTTGGCGTCTGATGGTCACGGTTTTTGTTTGTTTTCTTAAGATTTCTGGTCAAGGTACATCTAATTATTATTATACCAGAAAAACTTAAGTTATCATGTCCTAAAGCATCAACCAATCAAATTGCTTACCCTAAGCTGAAAATGCACATCTTGGAAATCTATCAAGGCATTCACCTAATAAGGCATGTACCAATGCGGGGGGGGGGGGGGACCATTAGAAAATATTACTGGGGTCTTATTGACTATAAAATGATAATGGTGGAAGGTATGCACGGTTTCGATCCATAAGAGTGAGCCACAGTAGTACTGTTAGTATGGCTCTGGCCCGACAGGAATTCAGAAGGGACTCTACACCAATGCTGAGGGGGTAAACACCAGGATCAGACACTGTAGTGCCTGGCAATGAAAAGTGTCTAGTTGTTTGGATGGTACAAAAAACGTCTTCCAATTGGCATACTCCTACAAGATCCTTTGGCATTTGGAAATCAATGAATATTTGGCAAACACATGTTTTCATGGGCCAGTTTGCGGCAAAAAAAGTTAATTTTAATTCACGCTCCTTATCCCTCTTTCAGTCGATAGCTGGGAACAATTTGAACAGTAAAATCGGTTCGAAATCTGAAAGACTGACAAGGGCTTACAACATCCCCAAACTCCAAGCTGCTATACAAGTATGCAGGACGGAGGGCCTGACAAGGACAGCTATCTAGTCGTTCACATTGGCGTGCACGTAAAAGATCCCTTGGCAGTTGGAATTCGATATAAGAGTAGGCCATAGTGATGCTGCCTGGGCAAAATTCCCCTCATAGCACACTGTATGGCGTATGCCAGTCTTCATTAGCCCCGTTTAGAAGCAGAACAGCAGGACGTTAAACCCCATTTCATTTCATTTTGGTATACAAGTGACCTTCTGTTGTTTGGTTTAGAACCAGACTGGGGCCCCCTAACAAAATCTTACCTCAGCTGCCCTACCATGCCACTGTGTCAGAGGTAAGTGATATTGATGAAACCTATTTGGAAACTGCCTGCATTATTTACAGATTTATGACCCTAGATTCGCAGAAGTTGTAAATGTATCCAGAGAAGAGTTACTGCTGAATTTGTTCTCTAAAACTATTACTAAAAAATTTTAAAACTCCTCAATTACCAACACATTACATCAAAATACCAACATCAATGACAAATTCATCATCACTTTAGAAGAATGTTTATTGGTCAACATGACACCAAAAATTACAATATACAATAATGGTGGCTAATATACATGTCTGAATATTTTTAACAGTTTTAACCAAGTACATGTAATTAATTTGGCCAATCCTCAATTTAACGAACAACATTACAGAATATTTCCAATACCATTGCATTGTCTTAACCCATGTCTAACCCAAACAATAAGAATGAACACCATAATGTAAATACTGCATACATCTGTGTACATGGTAGTGCCTTTAATTCTCTCAGTCAAGGCAAGAAACACTGTAGTCCACATGTAACAGAAAAATTATGGATAGGCCAACTAAATCATGTATATACAATGGGGCTTCACTATAACTCTTCATTTATGAGCTGTCATGAATCATTTTCCGTTATAGCGAGGCCTTATTGTAATTATAATAGTATAACAATATTTAATGAACCGCCAAATGACTGTCACAAAAAAGCATTCACACTTGAAACAGCATTTTTCAAAGACAATTAATAGTGGTGTTTTCAGAAAGGACATAATTCGACCATTAAGTTTACTTCTTGTTGATGAATCAACATGAACAGAACAGTTTGTCAACAAGAATTAATATTATGTTTTTATACAATTTATAATATTTGATTATTAAATACTTCACTTGTAAGTTTACACATCCTGAGTCAGCCTTCACCGAGAATTGAGCCCAGCTCTTATCAGGGCATTAGAATGATATGGTTGGGTAACTTTTTCTTAAAACAACTTAAGTTTCACATGAAATATGTTTCTTTAATCTACCAAGTTATTCATGTATAAATTACCTATCTTCACTCCGCCATTTTCCCCATCATTTTAGAAACCCGTGTCTACATTACTTTTAGTCTCCCATAAATAAAAATATATCCCTATAAAAATCACTTTAAAAAAATTTTCATATCAAAAATCACCCAATTTGAAAACTTTGTTGAAGATACTATTTGATATGATACTATTTGATTAGTTAAGTAAAGCGTACACTCAATGTTAAGTACAGGTAACAAATTTATACAAGCAATAATTATCAAAAGAAAGCCACTTCAATAAAAAATACATTTAACAGCCTTGCAGATATTATAAAAATAATTTACACTGACAGTAAACAAAATGAATATGATAAAATGAGAATTATGAAAAAAGCATGAGTTATCAAATTTAATTGTTACAATATGAATAGTGTAATTATTTAAATAACTTATACTGTTACATAAATAATTCTATTATACTCTCTGACTAGGGATCTAAGAAAAATCATCTGTTGAAAATTATAACTAATATTAATTAATATTGGAGATAAATTTCTAGCCAACACTATTAGCGGGTGAAAATTTCTATCAGAAATATTTATAACAAAGACATCTGCATCACTCAAGACAATAAACAAAAGGCTAAATGGTTAGTCCATAAATATGCATAATATAAAAGTTCAAAGGGACAAAAAAAAATAATATTTTCACAGACTATTGAGATGTAAAAGATAAATCTATGTTTACTCATCCAAGATCTCAAATACAATCTCATAATATAAAATACTTTGCTTGAGTCTGTCAGATGCTTTTGGTTTTTAGATGTGAATGTTTTATTTGAAGATAGTTGTCAAAGTCGGAAAATTTGTCATTAAAGCAGGTGGACAAGACAGTTATGAGCAGAGATGAAATGGCACTTGTGAATTTACACGACTTCATATTCCTTTCTGATAGCTCGAGCTAGACAACAGGAGAAGCAAATACCAACAATCTGAAAGAAAAAATAATACAAAAGTTAATGTTCATATTCAAACATAAATCAGTCTGAGGGTCACTCTTAGCTGAATTGCAGCCGACTGAGGTTCAGCCAAATAAATAGAGACACTCTTCTAATAATCATGTGACTTCTCGATATGAGTGGAGATTGGCTAATGAATTCTACAATTAGCCGAATGCTTCAGTGGACACACATAATATGGCAGAATATATCAAACATGGCTGAGTCGGGGGAATCATCCAGCCGAAAGTCAGTGAACACACTAGGTGAATTTTGGTACCGATGGAATCGGCTGACTTATTCGGCTAGTGTGTCCATTGCTTAACGGTCCATGTTTGAATGCCAAAAACTTTCTCCAATTTTGAAAAGAAAACGAAACTTCACAAGAAGCTTGAAAAAAAGGATTATTACCTGTACAAAGGCCAGACCAATTCCTATTCCACCAATAATGAGAATCTTATCTTGTATCCATGAAATGAATTTAGAATCACAGCCCTGAAACAAAACAAACTTATTAGCTATGATCACTTGGTAGTGGTGACACATGTTAAAATAAAGCATTCCTTAGGATGCTAATTACTTCTATTTAATTACATGTAATCGGTTTTTTTTCTTTATTTTTACTGTTGCTATAGGATAGAAGCTTCTTTTTTATAATCTGTACTTCAAAAATTCAACCCTTTTCTTGTTAAGAAGGTATTTTGTGTAGCAAATTCACTGCTGCACTGATTATTTTGCTCCATATTCCTGAAATCTTCATCAAGAAATTACCAAATTAACTAAGATACCTCCTCTTTATCACTGATATTGCTCCCAGGCTTTACCTTTTTCAATTTTATTAAATGGAAGCATAATAAATATTTATCAAAAGTCTCGAAGTGAACTTGGGAGTTTTTGATAAAATTGTCAAATTAGGACTCAACTAGCTTAGTGTCTGTTCTTAAGCTGAGAAAGCCTAAGTTTAGTATGAAACTATCATTTTAGATACTCTTAAAGCATAGTTATAACAAAAAAAGGAATAAGAATTTCTGATTTTATATCTTAGTTATAACTATGCTGAATGTCAAATATTTACTGACTGAAAGTTAAAATGAAATTTGTTTACCTCTGGATAGGCCTTGTCTGATGGACATGTATTACCCGTTTCTGTGCCTTTCACGCAGCAAGAAGCTGGAATAGTACTACCTGACCAATCAGTTTTGTCTTTAACACCGCAGCACTCAAACTAAAATTAAATTTTTTATTTTATTTTTATATTTATTCAGAAACTGGGAGGATTGGGAAACAGCTAAAGCCTATATGTATATGAATCCCTCTCTCGATTAAAACAACATTGTGGGTTAAAAAGCTTTTTAATTTGAAGCAGTCAAGTCTCTGCTGTCACGGAATGTTAAATGCAAAATGTGGTATACATCATTCCTCTAAAAAATGAGACAATTGCAAATAACATATTTTGATCAAATTAGGGACATTAGCTTCTGTTTTCAATATGGTTAAATCCAATAGAATCAACCATTACCAGAGCAAAGAATGTGTATATGCTGCAGACTTAATACTTATATAATGCATAAAATGTATAACAAAACGCAACCTTGATTTATAACACAGTTATATACATGTACGCATTGTACAGCAGTGTACCAAATTTTAATCAAATATCTTAAAAAGTTACATAAAAATTATTTCGGTAAAGAAATTAAGACACGTATGGAAAGAAAACCTTTAGTCTACTCCAGTTTTACCAGAAGGAAACTAATGCAGCTCAAAAGTGTTATCTAATCTCTTCCTAACAGTAGTTAACCAGCGACTGCCAGGCAGGATACATTATTTTTTGTACAATCAGGGGCAATAATCCAGAAAGTTATGGTCTATATCCAAAGTTTCATCACAATCAGATAAAAATTGTGACCTCTAGAGGGTCAACAACCTACGTATTACATACTTTTACACAATTTGCGTACAAAGAGCAGCCATTTTGTTGGATGCTTTCTAAAGCGTAGCCTACATGTGTATGATGATTACTACTCTTCAGTGAAATGTATTTGAAAAACCATCTCACCATCCGTCTGCAACCTTAGTTTGGGGTTAGGTTATCAATATATTATCAATTAGTTTATACACTCAATCTGCCTTTTATTCTGCAATGTTGTGATTTTAAATTATAAACTTACCTCTCTCTGAAGCTCATCAAAGGCCTCTACAGCGGCTGTGTCATTCTTTTTATAATCTTTTATCTTTTTATTTAGTACATCTTTAACTTCTTTGTCTAACTATAATATAAAGTATATAATATACCATATTTGAAAACCATTATATATAAACCTCCACTAATTCAATATTATCCTAAGTCTTCGGCATTGCAAATACAATTTAAAAATCAGTCGACGAGGACGTGTATTCTATTCTCTCCATTTCCTATTGTAATGAGAAGCCTTGATGAAAGAGGAAAAAATTTCTGCGTGAAGTGAAATGTCAAACCATACTTCCGACGTAGACTTGACTACCCAGACTTAGGTAAATTTAGATTGCTCATATATTTCGATGAACCAAACTAATTAGAAATTATTATTCATCATATAAATGGAAACAAAGAACAAACAAAGTCTTATAAAATCTTTGAACAACATGTCCTCAATAGCCATTTCACAAACCAAACAAACTAAAAGCGATTAATTCTGCAAGACAACTTCTTTAATGAAAATCTGTATGCTGAACTATTAAAGAGTAAATTTGGTTACAATTTTACTAAGACGTTGACATCGACTTTATTGTTGTAAATCCTGTCATAAAAATAAAGATTGTTTAAACTTACCTGGTCTTTAAGAACGAATCCCGCAATACCACCAGCGATCTCCAGAATAAAAATAATAGATAAGAGAACAGCAAACTGAAAAGGTAATTGCCATGTTATATAATTATGCATACATAAACTCTTGCTATTTATTTGACAGATTAGAATATGCTACATGTGTACACATGTCAGAAAGTTGGAGATTTTAAACTTGCTTTTGGGGGTGGGGGGGTGTTGGGACCATTATACTTTTTCTTATGTTGGTCACAGCAAGTCATGCCTCAGCTTTCAATAAAGTTAAACAATGTCTACTACAGTAGTTGAATCTCAGTTGAGTCGGGTGTGGTAATGTTCAAAACCTAAATGGTTTCCTATCCACAGATATTTATAATTCATTCATTATTTGTTATGCCATTCACCACTCCAATAATTGATGAATACTCCCATACTTTCATTGGAAACGTATAAAAATCATCAATGGGGGGTGTATAAAAACACATCACTGAAATTTACTTACAGTCATGACCAGACAATAATTTTCTTTGACGGCTCCGCAGCAACCAAAAAAGGCAATACCAAAAATGATAACGCCAACAATAATGAGTAATATACCGGGTCCAGTGTACTGATTCCCAAGGAAATCATTGTAATTGGTGAGTTTAATTTGTACATAAGATCCTGCTCCAATCAGACCAATACCTGCTAACTGAAACAATAAAATTAAATTGATAAAAATTTAAACATAGGATTAAATTAGTCTTAAAATCACTAGTTCTTGTAGCATGTTTAACCCTATATTCTGTACTAATAACACTTCTGTTAAGATTTTCCTCACATTCATAAGTACATGTACATGAGCTTGTTCAAACTTATATTGTGGAATAACCACACCTATATTGTAATCATTAAATGTAATAACACATGTACATACATATACATCTACAGTATATGTACTACATGTACCTACAAATTGGGTTTACCACAAAATGATTCTTAAATCAGAAATGTATCAAATCTTGAGTTGTACATGTACTTTAACACAATCAGCACATCAATAAATTCTTGAAATTTGAAGTGAAATACAAAATGGTTTCCACTACAATGTATTTATTAGCTTACGAATTTTAAAAACTAACGGCTCATTCCTTCTCAACACATACATGTACATGTGTAGACCTACTGTCACTGATGACCATTGATCTGTTCGAAAGTCTTGACAAATCAGACCAACAATATCGCCGACACTACAGTATGCTCATCATGATGTACATGTGACAGTAAGTAAATGACTTAAAAGCTGACTTATTTACAATAACAATCCAGAATTCCATAATAAACTGTTACCTTAAGTACTTAAAGTAGCTAAGTCTCTAACTCAATATCATCCAAAATCTTCGACATTGAAAACACGATTTATTTGTCGGTTTAAATCAACATTGATGTTGTGATCTTAACGGGAAAAGATAGCCTTCTGATATCCAATATTTAAAGACAAAATAAACATTTTACAATTGGTACACGAATCGTGTACCATAATACTTTTCAGCGCTATGTGTAATAAGGGACTCGAAAAACGAGCCTAGGCATATTCCACAAGTTATGTCAAACGGTGACGCTATATTCTTATCTGGAGAGGATGCCCAATAAATACTATCGGCGTAGAGTGGAATAACCAGACGCTAGAGATTGAAATTCGATTGAGAATACTGGCGTATTTCGTCGAACCTAACTGATTAGAAATTACAGTAAAATCAGAAACGATTGATATACATTCATATTACATTATTGTATGCGTTGCGACCCATTTGTGTCAATTTCTAGGTCCCAAATATTAGCGACTTAGCTCCTTTAACATAGTAAGCATTATTTTTCAAAACTCCCTCCCCACCCTCTCCAAGATTTTAATATTACTTTCACTTTGTATGAAGAATAATATCATACAGATTATTTATTTCAGTTTCCTTCAATAGAATGGCATTTAGATAAAATAGCTTGTAATAACACATTGGCAATGAAAATGTGAATCCTTACTAATATGACAATTAGAACATGGATTATGGAAGGATTACAGTGCACTCTAGAGTACGAGTAGACGATTGGAACTTTAATCGAAGTGCGGTCGCCAGTTGGTTATTACCGGAATTTCGATCAATCAATAAATTGTCTTCTTTTTTGTTGATCTGCTGACTTTTTACACTAATTTTTCGTCCCAAAGTACTACATACATATATTATAAATTATTAGACGTTGAATGGCACATTTGCATTTTAAACTTCCTCCTCCCACCATATTGGATTTTAAAACCTGTTCACATAAATTAATTTTGAAACACACACAGCTGCCATATTTTTACCATTAAGAGAAATACCATACTATACACTTACCACAAACAGTAAATTAAACACGAATAACAATAGTTTGATGCATCTCATGCCACCCTCAACCATTTTGATTAATTGTTGTTTTAGTTATTAGCAATTATTATCACAATCTGCTTTTCTGTATTGAACCGAAATTGCTGTTATTATCAAAGAGCACCTGCTAACCAAACCACAACCAGTCGATTAATGAATACACGAAATATAATCCGCTTAATGGGAGACACCTTTCCAGTTCTTTTTCAATAACACTTTATATCTGTATAGATTCTCCTTTTCTAATTAGTACTACGGTCCCCAAAAGCTATTTCGTTGTCAATGGCTGTTTAAGTGAAATTTGGGTATAAATACTGCGGAATAATATCATATCATGACCAACCCTCACGTGCTAGTCTACGTCATCAGCGCGTGACTGTAAACACTACTTACATGCGTCAAGTTAAAAATAGAGCAATACATCATTCGGACCATGTCTCATTCTCGGTCCGGAAGTGGAAGCTTATTTGGACGGACATAATATTATTCTTGACTGATTCGCGCCACTATATATGGCTGATTCGGAACAATATCAGACTGATTTGGACCATAGGATAATAAATACTAGAAACTGAGATTAAAGTAAACAATTAACTAAGTTTAAAGGGTTTTATTTATAGACTATCCACCCTACTTTTATTTACGGTAATTTAAATTAAGTTATAATTTCAATAAGTGAAACACATTTTAAATCCCCAACCATAAATGAAATTTCCTATGTTATTTGGAATAAATGATGTATAGAAAAGCGATCAAAATACCTTGTTTAGAAAAATCAACATAAATTAGATTTATGGAGTTTCCTGGTTGAGGGACCCAAGTTTAACACAAAAAGTGGTAACTCGGATACTTAATTATCATGAAAATAATCTGGAAAGTATTAGGGCTAATCTTGTTCAGAAAATAAATTTGGCTAAAAATGAAAATTACTTCGATCTAATAGGCAATTTGTCTTATTGGATAGATATCCGATTGTTTTGGAATTTATTTACAAATTAAGTTCGGTCAAGTAGCCTATGTATTTTTGTATATTAAATTGCTTACAAAGTTTTCCACATTTGTCAACCATTTTATTGCTTTCAACGCTTGTCTAGATGAGACCGATCTTGGTGTTCGATTATATTCTTCAGAATATAACAAATATCCATAATGATCTATGTGCTCTTTTCGTAGACTAAACCAAAGCTTTTGACTTAGTATAGATTGACGGTATTTTACAAAAACTCCACTAAGAAAAAATCAAAACGCGCTTATATAGGTGGATAGAAGATTTTCAAAACAATAGACACTTTTTAAATTAGGGCACGCGTACATATAGGAAACTGTATGGGCGCAAAATCGCAATGGAAAACGGAACGCTCTGAGGTTCCATACTCCTTGTAGTGTTTCGTTTTCCGTCATCAGCACAACCTTTTTTTTTTTTTGTTATTTGATTTCGCACTCATAAAATGATATGTAATGATTAAAATATTATACACTGAACTCTTTTCTTTCCTTATTGAAAATTATCGCAGATGCAATGCAGTAAGTATACTGGTATGCAGCTATTTGATGATATGGCGTTGTCATTTGGAAATATTGGGTAGATTATTAGTTTGTGGTGAACTGGGATATTGAGAAATCGTCAATCGCAATTGAAGGACATTTTTAGTGATATAGCTCATTTTTATTGAAGTAATCAATAACTAATTAACTACTTATTATCATTTTTGTCATATTATGCAAACATATTTAAATACTGTTGTCATTCAAATAAAATATGAGTCAAGAATCTGGTGCGAATACAGCCATGGCACGAATCAGCCAATTACCCGCATGATTATTTGCTCCCCACGCCCACCAACACCTTTCGGAGAAATTAGGGGTGGGTGTGGGTGAGGGCGTTTGGCTCGTCCGCCCTTTTGTGCGTATTGACCCAAAAGTTTGGTAACTCGAGAATGGAAGGTCACTATTGCTTCCACAGGGTTTTTGAGGGGGCTTAACTCCTGGATTGATCAAGGTCGCGGAATGCTGATTATCGATAGGATTTGTGCTCCCATGTTCCCAATACATAACACTAAAATTGTAGAAAACGCACTAACTTTGTTACGCTTTGTGTATGTATAACCCAAGCAGTTCCACCAAAATCGAATTCAACCAAGATCTTTTGATCCTCAACATCTATAATGGGCTAAAATTAAGGCACAAATTAATGTGAATCCGTGGCCGTATCATTGGCAGTTCAAAGAAACGTCCAAAAGCAGACAACTCGTCACTGTGATCTGCAACCACTTGCGTCAATTTTAGACATTTACATACAAAACACGAAATTTAAACGAAATCAAACGCAGTGACTGATGATTACTAATGGTAGGCCTATAACACTGCTAAATTTCCTCATGCAATCTTTTCAGATTCACAAAAATACCATCTTATTAAAGCACGGATTTATGATTCTTAAAGCACGGATTATTCATTTCGAGGCACGTTAAAACCTGTCTTGCGTAGTCTGCACGTACACCGGGATACATATACTAATTGGTCAAGAATGTCGACTGTCGAGTCCGAACTCGATTGGAGTTTTCTGAGACAGCTGTCGGCCTGGTTCAACGAGACTAGGCAATATGGAGAGTTTGCGCAGCCGCCAATATAAAGAGTAGCCTAGTTAGTAGCCTATATTTCTGTGGTGGTAGAAGACTGATACCACTAGACGTCAAATGCTAACGTTTCCCACAACTTTGTCAACAAAAATGAGTTGTAATAACACAATCCATATTGATGAAGAATTAATCAATGAATTATTCACCAAAAACCACCGGGTACGAATACGATATCAAGGTCAAGTTCATTCTGGCAGATGCGTTACCGCCACTACCGAGTATGGAAGAGTAGCCTACCGTCGTCAGTGCGCTGTCTGTTTGATAGATTGAACTGAATAGGCTTACCCGGACAACTGAACTACCTCAAAATGTTTAACTACATGTACTTTATGGGTATTTTATAGGTTGGACCATGGAAAGAAACATATCGAAGAATACTCATGGTGATAGCTATGGTAGAGAAAGGTCTTCTAGAGAACTTCTTTCGTGAGAAAGAAGTCATATCCGCGGAAGTTAGACAAGCCGTTAACGACGCAAGGAATGGAATTAGGTTAGCTGATAAAGTGCTTACGTATGACAGTCACAACGGGTTACAGATGACATAATTACTACAATGAGAACACAGATTTGTTAATATAACTTTTATTTATTTATAAAAGGTGTAATATAATGATGTCCTAGAAAGAAAAGGAATGTGTTTTTATACGCCCACATTTTCATGTGGACGTATATTGTCGTCGCCCCTGTCCGTCCGTCCGTCCACAATTGGTTTGTGGACTCTCTACAGGTCACAATTCTTGTCTGATTTTGACGAAACTTGAAATATATATAGGTTTATCCCCAAAAGATCTCGACTGCTTTCGATATTGGCATGTATCGGATAGATACTTCATGGATTATGACCCCTGTTTGTTTGTACGAAAAATCACGTTTTTAGCTTGTGGACCCTATAGAGGTCACAATTTTTATCCGATTTTGATGAAACTTGAAATGTAAGTTTATAACCCAAAGATCTCAGTTCCTTTCGATATTCCCACATATCGGACCGTAACTTTCTGAATTATGGCCCCTGATTGTACGAAAAATCGCGTTTTTAGCTTGTGGATCCTATAGAGGTCATTATAATTTTTATCAGATTTAAAAACCCGTATTATTGTATCACCGTTACACCCTAAGGAAAGGTTGAGTACGAATTTCGTGAAAATCGGACCAACATTGCCGGACAAAATGGCCGCCGTTTGTACGCGTATAGTGTAAAAATATGGTAAATCAAGGTTGTGGACCCTGTATAGTTCACAATTTTAATTCGATTTTGATGAAACTTGAAATGCATGTTTATAACCCAAAGATCTTGGTTCCTTTCGATATTTGCGCATATCGAATTGTAACTTCATGAATTATGGCCCTTGATAGTAGGAAAAATCACTTTCTTTTTAGCTTGTTCTCTATCCATCTCTCGAAAATGTTACATTCAACTTCCCAACGAAGAGACCCGGCAAACTGGCATTGTCTGAATCCTGAATAAAGATAGAGACACGCTGCGGTTTAAATGTGTTGAGCTGAATACAACCGGAATCTGGCCAGAGCTCACTGTTGTAAAAAGACAAAGAAGCAGTGGGACAATCAGTAGCGGATTATACTATAGTATAGGCAAAAGGTATGGCGCAAGCTCAGACCTAAATTTCTTTTTGAAAACCTCATACAATGTCAATAACACCGAAAGAAAACACCGAATTCGGAGAGAAAATCTGATATAAACTCAGTGGAGGGGGCTCCAGTATAGTAAAGGGGGCTCCAAGTCCGAGAACAGGGCCTGGTTTGTTTTCTGGGGGTTTGTTATGTTTGGTGCACTTACTATTATCTATGCGGTAGCATTCTGTCTCCGCTCTATACTGTGCGAATCGCACATAACCATTGTAGAATTACTGACGAATTATAATCCTCTGCCATTATTGAAGTAAAACCCACTTTTTTTGGCGCAATAAATGCTTATAAGTCCGTGTCAGTAATTCATAACATAGGGGTTTAATGTCCTACATTTCTTCAACAACATTGTTAATGACGTGTGAAACGGGAAATTATGCCCGGACAACGGCGCTACGGCCAATTCCATGTGCAAGCCTCGGTTTTACATGCCATCTAAACGACTAGACGCTTGTCAGGCACCCCGTTCTGCACCACAGACAACTGGAAACCTCACCGGGAAACTCCGAGGAACTTTCAAGTCTAAAATCGGGATCTCAAAAACGAGTAGGCGGAAACGAAGCTGTTCGGGCAAAACGGCGAATCATATAGCACATTACCCATCTTCATTAATCCAGTTGTTGCAGAAGAGCAAATGTTAAACCGAATTTCATTTGTTTTTCACTAGATATGGGAAACGAAATCATCGGTTCCAGTATGTATCTAAATCGACAGAAAAGTACTCCAGCGATGTAATTTTCAAAATTTTCTTTCAGAGAACCTTCGAACCCCCGTGAGGCCGTGACTATATAGGGCCTTTCGGTCGATCCCTGTGGGCAATACCGATGATGTCAAGTGACACTCATGATGAACGTTTTAAATTATTTGAAAGATGGCACGTCCTAAATATCACATCCCACATCCCAAGATTTCTAAAAACAATTCCCTTGGAATACGGCATGTAGCGGTTTCTTAATTTGAACTCAGAAAAGATTAAATTGTATTTCCTGTCAGGTCCTCATCGAATTCCAACTGACAGGCAGTTCTTTTTAGTGCACGCCATTGTTTGAGCCTATATACACCATACTAAAGTCAGGCTTACTGTCGAGTTAGCTCCGTATGAGAACAGATACTAAGCTAGCTGACCGACATTTTAAGCCCTATATCGACTACTTTAATCGAAAACACTAAGTGTACTTCGAGAATGTTGTTGAGTATTTATTCTGCTTCCGGAATCGAAGCTGATTCCCCAGTTTAGCGAGCCACAGTGGACCCAGCCTATACACACACACACGTGGCTCTAACTTTAAAGATGCTTCCCCGCGCACAAATTGTGTCATCATTCGATGATATTTGGGATTAAAAACATATATTCAAACTAATTAAACATACACTATGCAAGAGCTAAACCTGCCTATTGCAGGTCTTTCTTTAGGCCTGAAATGTTATATAAACTATTAATTAGAAATTAATTAAATTATCCAAACCATAATCAACTCACGATGCCATCCTGTGTCGTATTTTCACTGGATTAGAATCCGCGATTGGCTGCTCAACGATTAATGATGACTAAATCCAAAAATGTTTAATCCAGACTGTGGTTTTATCTTACCGACGTTAATAATGATGGTCGAGGCTAGGCTTAAAACTCAAAAGCTAATATCTCGGTTCAGAGTGGAGCAATTTGACTGAAATTTTCAATATACATGTAATTACATTATCTATTTTTTAAAACTATTATAGCGAGATAACAGTCAACGCTTTATCTAATCTCCCATCATAATGCCCCTTTAATCTATCCTTGGCTGCAGCGCCCGTTGTGGTGGGTGTGTTCAGGAGGGGTAAAATAATTTTGACTAATAAGTTAAGCTTAAGCATTAACTATAAAAAATAGGTATATAAAAATAACCTAGATATAGATATAACTTAATACAAATTTGTCGAAAAATGTTGAGCATGTTCACATGTACCTCAAATATGACCATCGTCAGGCATTTTCATTGTTGACCTCGAGGTACCCCCGCCAGACCTCCATAATTGCTAAACCCCCAAATTCCAAGGCTAAATCTATTTAAGGCCAGCTCAATTTTTGTCAAGGTCGTTGAGATATGTAAATAAGGATAGGGCACGTGAATTTATTGTTGCTGAGATTGTAGGATAGGACTAGGGTAAGCATTGGGCTAGCTAGGTCCAGGGTTAGGGTTGGGATTAGATCTAGCCTTACATCCCATGACATGACGAAAAATTGAGCTGGCCTTATATTTATTGAAAAATGGGAAGTGGGTCGGGCAGGGTTAAAAACTGCGCACTTCAATAAAACGCGGTGTTTTTTTTTTTTTTTGGTTTTTGTTGTTGTTGTTAATTCCGGCAGTTAGATAGAAACATGTATATATCTACGTTATTTTTTGAGACAAGATGGTGTAGAAATCAATTTTGGAGTTTTGAATATTTGCACCCCGCTAACTAAATACAGATTTCTGCATATTTGCAAGGAGTTATAATATTAATTTTTTGAAGGTTAAAAGGGGGATAACTTCAGTCTTAAAATTTAATTTCGTTTCGTATTATCTGCGTTTAAGCAGAACGTAAAGTTTGTATTGCCGCTGTAGCCAATCAAAATCAAGTGTTGTTCATGTCAACAATCATGGCGGAGAAAAGAAAGGTTGTTGGCGATGAAAAGCTCCAAGAAACAGATAAACAGTTTCTAGGTCTTTTAAAATTTACTAACAAATAATGATATTGCCTTTGTGGTTATCCGGACAAATTCTTATATTTTAATTGTATGCATGAGAATATTCTATAAGTTAAAATAGAGATTTAGTAGTGCCTTAGTCTAACTCGGATCAAATTCTGTCAAATTCTTCTTTCATTCAAACCACGATCCATTATTGTTATTGATCACAATTCTGTCAAACCGAAACAACAATTAGACATATAATAATCGTTGTGTACTGGAAATTCCACTGGAAATGGTTTTCACTAGGGACTAGACACTACTGATAACTTTCCTCTTTGACTAGTCTAAGCCCAAGGTATACTGCCATTAGACTACTGGAGTGGTTCTAAAGACTTCCTTTGATTACAAAAATGTTACACAAGTCTGTAACTACGCATGTACCTTAATTTCTATTCACCGAATTAACTGCCCTTGCCGCAAGAGGTAAGCACACCAACTGTATTGCTCACTTTGTCTGAAACACTGCAGTCGGCAAGTCAAGTTCACAAACTGTTAAAATGTCGCTAATAACATGGGACTGGAAAGTAAACCCTTTGCAAATCAATTTCTGCTGAGGGTGTTTAGAGAAAATAGTTCAACCCCCGAAAAAAAAAAATGGCCAATATAGAAGTAGTACCTGATGTGTATATTGAAAGTTTGAGTGAAACATATAAAACGGTTTGCAGCCATCATTAACTTTGATATCAAGAAGCCTGAGGAAATTGTTGGAATAAGCCTACAGAATCTAGAAGAGTAGATTATCTGCAATTAAAATACAGATTTGACGTCACCCTTTGATGTTGGCGTAACATTATTTCAAATGATCGCACATTATTTTTACTAGTGAAATATTGGACTCACTTGACGTATTTCACTAAAAAAGCATGTGCAGAGTGTCTGTATTTTAAGTTGTTTAATGGTCTCAAGCTTAAGACATTGTGTAATATATTGTAGAAACACTCCCGGGCCTACGGCCCTCTTGTTGTTACAATATATTACTTTAATGTCTCGCTCTCGACCATTAAACAATACTTAGTTGTCGCGGCTATTATAGTGTTAAACATAAAAGTATCTGAATCTAGAAGGGATAGGTATAGTAAATTATGTGTATCTTTATGATGGTATTTGAAGGAAGACATCGATATGTTGCACATGGCTTGTGTTTAGCTGTGGTTGATTAGGGTATTTCCAATACAAATACGGTAATAAGTGTCTGTTTTTCTTTATTAATAATTTGGGTTGAGTCTGCAGGCCTGGAAATTCATGCGAATCTCTGAATCTAATTCGCGCAAGGATTCTCTCAAGAGCTTATGCTGCGAATCTACAAGGATTCGCGTAAAATTTCTAAAAAAAACCCCCCAAAAAACACGAGGTTGGACAGGCGACCCTACTCCTTGTCACTTTCAACCAGAGATTCGAAACCATGCCAGTTGACTTAATGACAGACCTTATGATGCAACGGGCATGCGCTAACCATTTGGCCATCCAACACCCCTGGAAATCAAAGAAAGGGGGCAAAGCAAGTTGAATTTAGTGTGATTATCTAAAATAAGTTGTACAAATTTTTAATCTGGGGCATAAAAATTTAGCCATTTCTCAAAACTCGTTGGTGTTAACCACGAAGATAGCCCAAAATGGGAACAGATCAACAAAATGTATAAAAGTTCAAATCTTTTATGTGCGAATAGTTGGCAGGTATTACCAAAAATGGGTTGAAGGGGAAAATATGTGGTGGGATGAAGTGTGTTATGGGGCAAAGTGGGTTGATTAAGTAAATATAGCCCTTTTTGTTGTTATAATGTATCAAATTCTGGATCAAAGATATTTTTCATAAACAGTGATTGAAAATTGGGTAAATTCTTAACTTAAATAAGCCAAGTCTTTAACTCAATATCATCCACAGTCTTTGAGGTTGCAAACATGACTTATTGGTCAATTTAAATCAACGTTGATGTTGTTATCTTACCGTGAAAAGTTGGGCCTCTGATATCCAATATTTCAAACAAAATGAAATGCTAAAATTGGCACATGAATTGTGTGCCAAAATGCTTCTGAGTGCCAGTTGTATGAAGTGACTCAGTAAACAAGGTTAACATATCCCATGTCGGAGAATACTACCTGTGTAGACTGGAATAACAAGGCGCCAAAGACTGCCATTCAATTCAGACTCTTTGCTTATTTTGCCGAACATAACTGATTAGAAGTTATATTAATAACAGAAAGTTACATTAAACATACATTATGCAAGAGCTAAATCTGATTATTGCAAGTCTTTATTTTGGCTTCAGATGTCATAGAAATTTAAATAAGATCTTTATTTACACAACAGGCACAAAATCAACTCTGTAGACCCACGGATGGCTTGGATTTAAACAGGATTTCATTGATTGATTAAATTTTTAAATGGCGTCGTAAGCGGAGATTAACCGTTACGTTGACCGTTACGTTGACGTCATACTCCCGGAAATTTTAGATCGAGGCTAAATGATAGAGTGTACGAAGCGAGGCCGCTGTTGAGCGAGGCCGCATGTCAGTCAATTTGATTGAAAGTTCGATATATACGGCCTTGATATTATGTTTAGTTCTGGTTAAAATGAGAGTTTGGATGTCGGTATTATACGCTGTTTTGTCACTTGCGTTTACAGAAAAATTATGGAAATTGGTAAACATTGCAGCTAACATTACCCCAGTTGATTTGCAGCCCCATTGGATCACTGTTTCCTATTTATTTGTCTGCATCGGGAGTTAAGTAGGCCTACCAGTTACAGTACGTACACTAAGGCTGTGCAAAAATATCGATATAATCGATAATCGGCAGAAGTTACGGTCACTTTCACATGACTGAACTTGCCGTAGTCTGGCATTAGCAGACGAATGAATGAATACACAACGTCAACACAACTATAGTATTTCCCTCCTCTGCTTACAAACTGCCACATTTTAAATATATATTATTGTAAAAAACTAAACTTTAAGATTAAATACATTATTTTAATATTTTCGTTGTTTTTGTTGTTATTACCAGTTGAAACTAAAATAGGTCACGCACTTTGTGAACAATGACAATCGCACATCATATGGACACAGATCACCAAATATTCCTACGCCGTCCCCCACGAAACAAGGGCCACAGCTATTTTTAGTCTTCCTCTCCCTTTTCCTTTTTCCCCCTTTTGCATGGCGATTTTTGTTGACTTTTTGGTGTAGAATTGAGGAAAAGGGTTTGAAAATACATTTTCTGCCAGGTTTTGGTGAATATTCATAATTTTGATGCGGAAGGATACAAGAGTTGAGAGGTTGGTTACGTTGAAATGTAGGGCCTGAAATTGCATGTTTACTTGTCTCCACTTCCAGCTTGTGTATCTCAAGTTTTTCATGAAGAACCTCATACGTGCTTTTGGGCAAGTGGTTGCCACATGTTGCTCCATCTGTGGTAGAAAGCGTTCTACCCAACGAAAATTTGGGAAAAAGTTAGAGCCGGTCTAAGATACGAGAATTAACATTGGAGTCAATGGGGAAATCTTTAGTGATCTGTGTCCTGTCTGTGTGTGATAAGGCTGTCACTGATATGCCTTAGTTTTGAAAATATGAAGATTAAATTCTCAGAAAATATGATTAAAATAGTTTGGCTACAGAAAAACTAAAAAAAGTTAATTAAAAAAAAAAAAATCAAAGTTTTGAAGAAAAATTGTGATTTTACTACAAATTTCTCAATTTTCAATTTTTATTGAATTTTTAACAGTAAGTAAAATATTCTAATGCCCAATGTTGGCTTATTCAGTCTCAGAAAGCACAGATAAAATGAACAGTATTGAAATTTCACCAAATTTTGTCTAAAAATCAGGAATATTCACAAAAAATCTTGAGATTCCCCCCATTTGGATGTAGAAATTAATATTTTCATGACTACTAAAATGAGTCAAAATGTCTAAAAATGCCCATATTTTCTTTGCTAATATAACTTAGATGGGATCTACATGTTTGTCAGGTTTAGAAATAGCTCCAGCTTTCCTACAGAAAATTGAAAATTGGTAACACTGAGTTAATAATGTACAGCAGATGGGTTTGTACAAAATGTTCAAAACAGGGGTTGGCTCAATTTTGCCACTATTTTACCCAGAATAAGCTTTTTTTTCTTCTTTGAAACATTAAATTCTTGCATTTCCTTCATGTAGGAAGCAATATCCCAGCCTTTCTAGACATTTTTGACTCCATCATTCTGTTTAGAGAGGCAATAAATGCCCCACCCCACCCTTTTCTATTAATGTGTTTTTAGGGATTTAAATGCACCTGTGTTGACATGTAAATGATCTTAATTGGAATTTGTGGTTGAATTACAGCTAAGAATGTTATTTTTCACCCAAAAATATTTTTTTTGTGCATTTCAAGGATTTCTAACCCTTATTTGTTCAGAGTCAAACGTAGAACCCTGAGGCATTTCAGGCCAATGAGACCAGACCCAGATATAAAACTGGTGTAGATGTGTAAATGTCAGTTTAATGTTCAATATTTTGTGGTGTTTGCTGCATTTATGTTGCCTATAAAACAATAAAATGTTAATTTTTCTCCTTTTCAGGCCTCTTTTTATGTTGTCAAGTCTGTCATGACTACTTTTTTGACTTCATTTTTTCAGGAAATTTATGTAAAGTTCCAGACATCTTGCTTCAGCACAAGGATTGCAATACAAATTTGTAACATGCCTCTGAGGTTTGAGATGTTGGAAACATTGAAATATTCCCAAATTTGTGAAAATTGTGTATTCTGTGACCCTTCTGTTAGAGAGGGGTGATCATAGACCAAATATGTCATTTTTTTCATTCATCAAGGCCTATTTTTAACCGTAATTCATATTTATTGCACCTATTTTAGTTTATATGTGCATATGTTAGCCAGGGATGGTAAAACATAGCTGTTAGACAGATTCCTTTGGTAATGTAAGTTCTGCAACCATAGATTAGATTAATTCAATCAGTGGCATGTTCAGGGGGTAGGCATACATGTTTCAGTATAGATCTCTAATATTACAATCAATGCAACTGGTTTGCATTTTTTCTGTTTGCATATTGTCCACAGATTCTAAAAATATATTTCTTGTCCGTCCGGATATTTAAAAAAGTGGAAAATTATTGGTATTTTGAGAGATGCTACATGTAAATTTTGTACATTTTTCATCACATGGCAGTAAAAAATTATATTTTTGAAAAAAATTCCAAATTATGAGTGTTTTCTATGTAGTTTCTTTGTTACTTGTCTAATTTTTTCACAGAACTCAGATACTGCCTTTAATAAGAAAGATTTTTAAATTTTAGCTCAAAAGGCCTATGGACCTGAGATGCACCAGTGTACATAAAGCAGCATGTGTACTTAAAGGGCCATCATTTTTACAGTTATTCTTTGATTTTGATTTTCTTTCACCGGCATGTTGCCAGAACACATGGGAAGGAAATAAAAAAGGCCTCTTGGTGATCCCTGAAGTTTCACCCCTATATAGGACACAGATCACCAAATATTCCTACGCCGTCCCCCACGAAACAAGGGCCAAAGCTTTTTTTAGTCTTCCTCTCCCTTTTCCTTTTTCCCCCTTTTGCATGGCGATTTTTGTTGACTTTTTGGTGTAGAATTGAGGAAAAGGGTTTGAAAATACATTTTCTGCCAGGTTTTGGTGAATATTCATAATTTTGATGCGGAAGAATACAAGAGTTGAGAGGTTGGTTACGTTGAAATGTAGGGCCTGAAATTGCATGTTTACTTGTCTCCACTTCCAGCTTGTGTATCTCAAGTTTTTCATGAAGAACCTCATACGTGCTTTTGGGCAAGTGGTTGCCACATGTTGCTCCATCTGTGGTAGAAAGCGTTCTACCCAACGAAAATTTGGGAAAAAGTTAGAGCCGGTCTAAGATACGAGAATTAACATTGGAGTCAATGGGGAAATCTTTAGTGATCTGTGTCCATATAGGCCTATAGTAAAATTAGAATTATCTCCCTTCTTTGTTCTTGGTTGATTTGTAGAGAAATCGTCTGCTTTCAAGATAAAACTAATTGTATTATTAATGATCAACTCCGCTTTTATTACTAAATCATGTCAGATACAGCCCATACAAAACACGTTTTTGACTTCCAGGGAAAATATCTATCTCTCGTAATTTCGTGGAAGAATTCTACTGTGGTTTTCATCTAAATTAACCAATCATAAAAATTCTACTTTGAAAGCCCGTAATAATTTTGTTATTGTCCAATCAATAGACGCCTTCTATTTTATTTTATTCTATTAGTAGTAACACTGTGTGATCGCCAGTCACTTGCAAAGAGAAACCATGTATTGTCTTTGTATTTATCGGAGATAAATAAAGGTTCAAATGAATCAAGAACAGAACTTAGAATAATACTCAAGTTAGTCCTACATTTAGCAACTAATTATTTTACATTAATTGATTTTTTTACGTACATCGGCACAGTATTAGACTAGGATAATAACACTACTGTAACTCGATCAACACAAATAACAGGTCGGTAAAGTTCGGATTTTTCCGAAAAAAGATAATCGATTATTATCGATAATCGCTGACAAATTCTTGCCGATAATCGATATTGAAATTTCATATCGATTCCCAGCCTTAACGTACACGCAGGCTAACAAGAAGTCGGCTATAATTATGCCTCATTGATTTGGTCCATTCCTTTCAAACTTAAATTGCTTCTTAAATATATATTAAAAGTCTTATTTTTAATTTGTAGTAAAAATAAATGTGATACGAATTGAATTGCAACGGCCGCCTAAAACCTAATAGGCTCACGGTACAACAGCCATTGAAAACGCTACTTGATAATCGAGATTATGTAGGTGGAGTTAACGCCTGTCAATCAAACGATCGGCCATTCTCGGAGACGGTGACGAGAGAGTTGACTCCTATTTCTGGTCAAAAATTACAGAATAAAGTAATTTGACTGAAATTTACTATATATTCTTCTTTCATCATCTATTTTTGAACTGTTATAGCAAGAGTGGCAAACTCACTATTAAAATCACCCATAATGTATCTTTAATAACAGAAACGATCAAATGTAAATCAGTTTATATAATTCATATTGCTTTATTAAATGCATTGCAACCCATTTTGTCCATTTCTAGGTGCCAAAAAATAGCAATTTAGCTCCTTTAAGTCTGAGAATGCTTTGTGAACTCGGGCCAGATGTTCTTGGATACGCTAGACAATTTATCATGGAATCCCAGTTACACCACTATTGTACTCAGCTGGAAGCTCACTTACATACCGGTATACAGATTATGGCTCATTACCATTCTATTATTAAAATTATTTATCATTAAGGTTGATTGGTAATGATACACTAATCAGTGACTGGAATGCATGTACAGTTCAGCTTAAACACAGATATATTGAAAATTATTGTTTTAATTTACAGAGAAAAGTAATGTTAAAGATATGATTAAGGAAGCATTGGGTAAGGTTATAGCCAACAGACCTGAAGATCCAATGAAATTTTTGGCAGAATAGTAAGTTTTTTATAAATATAAAAGATAAAACAGCCCAAAATATTTTTTATAATACCCCATTTTGATGATGACAGTTTTGTCTAAAGGGTTGTATTTTAAGTTTTCGTCCCCCCGTCCCCTGTGAATGATATAACATAAATGTATAACTATAAATGTAGAGTTGTTATTCATTATTGATCATTGCTTGATAAAGATACCTGTAAGAGTATTGAAACGTTGCATGTAATAAACCAAGAAGTAGTAAATCCATAAAGTTGTGTTATTATGAATATAACATTATGTTGATCGCAAAATAGGCTACATGTAGTTGTATTGAACACTATTTCTTAAAAGAGATTGCAACAAGTGGAAGACAAAATCATCATCTTTGTAAGTTACTTGTACTAATTTGTAGTTTACCGGATTTCCAATACCCTATTTTCTGTTATTTATCAGATTCATCTCTAATGATTACTTTAATCAGGTATAATCCGTCAGTACAGCTTTATCCTCACTTTATTTATATTTTTTCTGCATAGTTTTGAATCGTATGAAGAGCAATGTGGTTTAGCACAGAAGGCATTACAAGTTATACAGATGACCCATCATAGTCGACCAATATTTGACCTTAACGTTCATCAGGCTTTTAAGATTCTGAGTAAACATAAAGGTTAGTTATTTATGCTGTATGAAAGTAGATTTTTGCTTGTTATTTTCTGTTATCAACCAAAAGTGAAATTTTTAACTTGGCTGAGCTAACAATCTTCACTGTTTGAATTGCATCAATATGGTAAGCAATTTTGCTAAACATACTAAAACCAAATTTGAGAATCAAATTAGAATATGAATATAAAAGTTTAATAACCTTACAGTACATGCACGGCATTGGCTTTGGTTCATGTTGATATACTATGGCCATGGTATATGTAGTGTTACGTTTAATGTTTGCTTCTACAGATCTTTTCCTGCATGAATTAAGTCTCAAATGGTTAGTGTCCAAGAAACTGCTAATATATATAGTTTCAAAATTGTTTGGGTAACATGAATGTACAACCCAAGTCCAAGAAAACTTTTGTATATTTTTTTTCTAGATCATATGTCTGACATCTCATTTTTATCTAATTGTCTTCAAATTAAAGAATTTATTTTTAGAAATAAACTTTAACCACAATATTGATAGTGTAATACTTATTATGAAATAAATATTATTATCTTTTGACAGTTACCAAAAAAGCACGGGGAGTAAATGGAGGTATTTATACAGATCTACTTCATGCATTATGTAGGTAAGAGATGTAACATGGTAGATTACTGGATTTAAGATGGCTGTGGTAAAGCAATCAAGATATAAACAACTATTAGTAAAGAGTTTTATTTCCTGATATAAGATACCTAGCAAAGGTGTCAATGAGGCGTAGAATTTGTAGGATTAACTTTGTTTTGTTTTCTGTTCTATAATTTATAGATACGAGAGAGAGACAGACAGAATTTTTAACCTCCATTTGACTCAAACTAGGTCATTTTGGGACTAACACATGGTTCAATTTTATTTCAATAATTCGCTTGCGCGTAGGGGTTTAGTACAACCGGGGAATCAAAACCACACCAGTTGACTCAATGACAGACCTTGTGATACTGCACGCACGTGCTAACCATTCGGCCATCCAACACCCCCCCCCCCCCCCAAGAGATACGTGACTGGGGAATTTTTTTTAAGTCTAAAAACTGCAACCAATATATGAATGCGCTCTTGGGAGACCGTAGCAATATGTTACACTAAGTTTGAAGATCGTAACATTATGTTACCCTATGTTTGAAGATTGTAACATTATGTTACCCTATGTTTGAAGACCACAGCAATATGTATTTATTTGTAACAAAACATTGCCTAGTGATTCCATTACTACTTCCAGAAGAGTAAGGTGCGGAAATTATGACCATCAAAATGGTGTCCTCCTGATTGCAAAGAACATCAAGTTTAAAGTTTCTGATACGCTTAGTGATGAATCTTCATCAGTCATTAGATCATTGTTGTTTGAATGACCAGCAATTAAAGTTGCATGACGATTGGTCTAAAAGAGTTGTTTATTGTAGCAAATCAGAACTAATAAAACAAAGGGACTGTATCGAAATGTTCAGATAATAAATTCTGATTGAGCTTATTAAAATTAAAGAAAAATTTTACATTTATTTTGGGCAGCTAGTAATCATATTGGTTATTGATGAACATTCATATTGTATACATTTTCTGATTTATTTACAGGGAAATTCAACCAGCTATAACAAGTCAGCTAATGTGTAAAATAGAATGTTGTCATTATGAAGCTGTGCCGTATGATGTGTTTAGATCTAATGTATATACATGCTGTGTTTTACAAGGTCTGACAACATCACTCAAAAATATTTTTTCTATATTTACATGTTTACTATTAATCTTAGCCAGTTATTACATGTATGTATTTAAGAATTTTTTATTTATAGATACATTATGTAAGAGCTAAATCTTCCTATTGCAGGTGTTTATTTTGGCTTAAATGTTATTCAAACTATTATATAGACATTTATCAACATGACAGGCCTATATTCAAATCCCTAGACCATCAGATAGCGGAGATTTACATGGATTAAAGCACCCGCAAGATATAATAATTTAACAAAAAATGGATAATCCAGACTTAGCCTGGATTGTTAACTACCATTGCTACGATAATAAACAATATACGCTACATCTTAACTTAGCTCAGAATAAATTCATTTGAATGAAACTTTCAGTATATTATTTTTCATTATCTTTTTTTTAAAATGGCCATCTCTTAAACAAAATCAAACATAATGCATCTTTAAGTTCAAATTCAAACTACCATCATAGTCAATACATTATCTGTAGTCGACTAATCCTTATCATGTATCATTGATAGATTATGTTATAAATTAATGCCAATATTAAAATATATTGTTTATTTTAGATTACAGTAAACTAGCAGAGAAGTTATTTAAGACTTTAGATGTTAATAATACAGGTAGAGCTGAGAAAGTTATTTGTGATGTTGTTTTAGATCAACTAAAATCAGTTTTATCATCAAGTTCAGCAACAAACTCCATCAGGTAGGTGAACCAGGCCATATTATCTTAATGGGTATGATCCCGTTTACACTCTAAAGGGGCGGGGGTCGATGGTCGAAAGGTTAGCACAAGTGCGCTGTATCGTATGGTCTGTCATTGAGTCAACTGGCATGGCTTCCCTTCCCCGGTTGTACATATCAAGGAGTAGGGTCGCCTGTCCAACCTCGTGGGTTTTCTCCGGTTTCCTCCCACTGCGCAAGCAAATTATTGAAATAGATTGAACCATGTGTTAGTCCTGAAATTGTGTCAAGGGGACGTTAAATCCCATTTCTCTCTCTCTCTCACACATTCTAGAGGCTACAGTTATTGTCCAATTACTTACAAATTTATACATGTTATCTTAAGTTCATAAGACAAAGCATATTGATTTTCTACAATTTCCAATAACAGCTAAATTTACCACTAGCTTAACGGTACTTGATTTGTATAATAAATGTTAACATCAGCCAGAACTAGAAGCCAATCATATTTAAATGAATTCTGATAATTACTGAATGGATTCTTTATCAGTTTTTAGTGGCTCTCGTTGACTGGCAACCTATCTTTTACTCATTTCTCTCAGAATATAACTGTCCCTCCAAATAATCACCAGTTCTCTCAGAATATAACTGTCTCTCCAAATAATCACCAGTTCTCAGAAATAGACATCTACACCTTAGCCACCCTTTCAGAAAGGAAACTAATGTCTCAGACATTTATTGACGAAGAATTACATTGCCCATAGTGTTGTGTATTTAGACCATAGTGTCATGTATTTTCATCATTTCGGGAATAATATGTGTCCTGTGTCAGTGAACTGCAGACTGGAAATAAATCATAAGGAGATATTTAGCCTTGAAAGACTATGATTTCCATATATGTAAACTTACACTAACAAACAGTTTAATTGGTTTAGAATTTAGAAGGTAGAAATACATTATTCAGATTTAAGGGGAGGCAAGGGTCGACAAATGTCAATTTTGACTCAAATTATCGATTTTTTATATTTGCATATTTGTGATGTTCATTCATTTTTATTTCACTTGTAATTAAAGAAAATACACATAAAGTGGTTTATGATAAAAAAAAATGCACTTTTTAACACTCTTGCAATTCAAATTTTGCTGTTTTACTTCTTTATGTCTTAATTTCTCAAAAAGTAAAATATCAACAGTCGACAACCTTACAAAAAATCGTTCTTGAAAAGTTTACAACAGATATATCTGAAACTTACACACATACTTAAGTAATGTTAGTTCCATGAAAATAAGGATTTTCAGTACTCTAAATGAATATTTAGTGTAGTAAATTGGCATTTGAAATCTCTCATTGAAAACAACATTTTTCATAATTTTTGTTTTGTTGACATAGAATGACATGTAAGGACACAATAACAACACTATTTTGATAATTGCACAGAGAAATGTCCTAGGAACATTTTAAAAAAAGTTCCAGGCTTCTACCTTTGATACTTTCAGAGAACGATTTTTTTTAAGCAGTAAAAATGATTTTTTTTGTTTCCATGGTAACCAGTAAAGCAGATTCCCCCAAAACTGCTGATTAGCCTATTTTGTCGATGTGAACAATTCCTGAAAATTTCAAGTTGATAGCATTATTAGAAGCCAGTTATTTTAAAATTCATATTTGTCGAGCAGTGCCTCCCCTTAAGAAATTCAGAAAAAAGTATATGAAATTATTGTCTAGTGTAAAATGTGAAATGCCATGTACATTCCATTTTAAGATGTAAAGCATGATGAATTATTTTTTTCATCAACAGAATAATTGATGCAGGAAAAAAACTAGGACCAGAGGCATTATATCAAGCTTTTGAAAAGGTAAGTTTATACATTTCTATGATATATGTGTAAAACTAGAAAAATTTAATGTAAGTGTAAAACTTGTATAATAGGAAGTATGTAGCAAGATTCAGGAAAATACTACTAAAACAATAAATATCTGTAGTTATTGATTATACAAGAGAGAGAATATGATTACCCTTTATAGATATCTTGGTTCACTTTAGTTTGAAATTCAGTGATATATATTGTTAAGTAAGTAATATTTTAAATTATAGGTTTCTAATCGTGGGCGTGGTAAGGGTCAAACCTTTCAGACATCAGAACAATTTGTAGCTGAAGCTTGTGAAGCTTTTCTAATGAAGGTAAAATTCTTTTCTAATTACTGTGTAAAACCAAAGATGGTTGGTTTGGTGAGAATTTTTGAGGGACCTGAAAATATTATTTGTTCAGGCATTGGATTTATCAAAAAAGAATTTTGGTATGAAAATAAATAGTCACGGTAATGATGTGGCTTAATTTCCCTCCTCACACCCACATTGTCCCACATAGTCGAATCACTGAATAATATCAGTTTTTATGCCTGAAATATCAAAAATTTATTGTATTTCTTGATCTAGATGTACATTTGCATCAGACTGGACCACAAGAAGCCAGATTTATGATCTTGGTTGTTTAACTTATCATTATTTGATTCATCTAATTATAAGTAATAAACTTACACAAATGAAAATAAATATTAACTTGTTTTCAGGTGAAGAAGTTAAGATAGCCTGTATTAAAGGGGTAATGATAATGGCAACTGGTTAGAATAATACAGAAATAAAATCTGCTCCTTTCATAGTTTCATTATTGCATGAGACAAAGTATTCTCACTGTTCTAGAACACCTGTTACCACTTTTGTATTTTTGTATAGTACATGTACATTTGACAGATAGAAAGAGGTTATCAGTATATTCAGTTAGAAATCATACTGTTTTGGCATCATCATTTGGATGGTTGGAATGATGAGAGAAAATATACAAATTAAGATTGTAGAGAAGTTTCTACACTATATTAGTATAATATCTTATCTTCAATTGTTGTACATTAGTTTTTAATTCTCATACATTAACACTACAATTTAACTTCCACATTGTCTTTGTATACATATACATATGGCAAATTATCATTGTATTATCTTTTGTGTTCCAATCATTGTTAATTTAAATCATGTAAAGTAAATTATCTTGTGTCAAAGGATAAAATTAATTAATCAATGTGAGTTGATATTGTTCTCATCCATATAAATCTATAATATTTTGATATATCATAGAAGGAATTGATTGTGGAATATGTACATATTATATTGTTGGTAATATAGATATATTTTATAATTCTCAATATACATTTGTTACGATTAAACTATACAGTATTATTTTTCCTGATATTTTCTATAAAATTCTTATTGTGGTTTGTTGGTTTAAAACTGACAATGATGTTAAGATGAATTGTTACTTTTATCAACAAATTTAAATCTAATAGATTTTATTACATGTATAGGTCTACATATTAAAGGGGCATTAGGTAAGATTAAATAAAGAGCTGGCAGTTCTTGCTATAATAGTTAAAAAAATAGATAATGAAAACAAAATATGCTGAAAATTTCAGTCAGATTGCTTCACTCTGAACCAAGATCTTAGCCATTGTATTTTAGGCTAGTCTCGGTCGTCATTACTGAGGTTGGTAGTTAAATTATCCATCATAAAATGTATTTAAATCCAGTAAATATCGCAGGCTAACGATGGCATCGAGAGTTGATTATGGTCTGGATAAGTTAATTAATGTCCAATTAATGATTTAGATAACATTTCAGGTCCAAAGAAAGATCTGTAATAGGCAGTTTCAGCTCTTGCATAATGTATGTTTAATGTGACTGAATATTGACATCGCCCTTGTGGTAAACATATTACTTATCAATTTTGAGATTATTCTAAAAAGAAATTCTTTAGTTGTTGCCCCTGACTGGTTATTGACCAAAATATATCATGTAGTTAACTAACTCACCCTTTTTTCATAATGGGATAAAGCAGATTCAAATAGATTTTGATTTTGTTCATGGGGTTATTTCCAGAGTTACTGCCCCAGAAATATGTACACTCATTGATAAAAAAAACCCCAAACTATTGACATGCTTGTACTAATTCTTCAGCGTTCGGGTTTTGACAGTTTTTCAACAACTATTCTTGAATAAGGAGTATTCTAGTAAAGATGGTTCCAAAAGTATATTCACAGTTATTGTCTCTGACATTATTATAATTGGAAAATCAAATTACCATACTTGTACCCAATCTTGGGAGTACAGATCTCCATCTCCAAAATTGTAAAAAAAATGGTCAATAGAGTTAAGATGGTCCATAAACCTTTTTAGCTATTGTCCAGAATTATTGACCTGGTCTGTCCACCGAACTTTTTGAAATGGATGATCAAATTTGAGAATTTTCAAACTTTTGGACTTATTCAAGGGTTGATTAACATGAACTCTATCTAGTCCCAAAGCCGTATATAGATAAAGTTGCGACAACTGTGAAGCCAGAAATTTCATATGACGTCATGAAAACATGACGTCAAGTGTACAAAGACTCCATCTTGGGTCCCAAAATGTTTGTACCTACTCACTATCTTATTTATGTCCTGTATCATACTGTTGTGTCGAAGTTGGCTGTCCCCGACAGGGATGTAGTTAGATATGCCATAGAATTCCGCAAAAATGAGATAAAACGTACTTTTCTTTAAACGAAAAGTATAGCTGCCATTAAGAATTCTCGAAATTATATTTTTGAGATTATCGCTGCCCTTTTATTGCCAAATTAATGTTGTTGTTTTTTTTATTATTATTATTTTATTTAAATGGTATTATATTACCACATTGGCAGTCATTTTGAAAGAAATGCCCGCCATCAAATTAAAAATACATTTTTTAATTGATTTTTGTCAAATTCGATTTTTCGACACATTTCGCTTGTATAACCACTCTGTGTTTGAGGAATTTAAAAAGAAATTATTTATCCTCCCACCACTGAAAGACACTGATTACGAGATCTCGCTCTCCGATAATTCCTGAAGAACGTCAAACTGAATTCTGTTAATCATGTTATTTTGAGTATGATTTTGTCTGACATATTTATCACTGAATCACACTGCATTGGTTTCTTTTGCAATTAGTTTAGGATAAATTATAGCCCGTAAAATGTTATACCAAGAAAAAAATAAAACGTTTTGTTAAGTAAAGCTATATGACGCCATGACGTCATAGTTTTTATGGCGCCTGTAAATGAGTTGTCGTAACTTCCCCTATACAGGGCTTTGTCTAGTCCTATCGTTCATCAATTATTCACATTTTTCTTGCACCTGCCTGTAAACCATATAATTGTAACATAGATCAGAATTTAAAATAAATGGTAATGAGAATGAGTCCTGTTGAAAGTCATCGTGGTGCATTATTTATTTGCAAAGTTATCGATCCTGTCATCAGATCTTGTCATCGCCCCAAAAGAACGAAGATTTTTGTGAAATGTTATATTAATATTAAAACAGCGGTTTTCGGTAAATAACTGTTTCATTTAACAGGTCTTTTAGTTTTAACATCAGTATTCCGTGTTGTGGGTTATTTATTATGTGGACGCGTTAATGCGTCTGATTAAACACAGATCCTATTTCGTTTTGTTTTTTATAGTTCAAAATTTCGTTTAACTTGTCTTTACTACACTAGGATCTGGAAGAGTTGTTATATAACCCGCTTAGTGGTTAATGTGAGGGATTAGCCAATGAAACGGTCTGTTTCAGTGAGTTCTTGGCGTGCGATGCACAGAACTGTGGGTATCCTACTAGAAACATCAACGCTGATTGGTTCATCAAATGTCTGACGTCATGGGGTCAAAGGTCGCTCGTATGACCCCTGACGTGACCTTTCACTCAAACCGGTCAATTCTTCATGTAGTGTAGGCCATCGAATTATAAAAAAAACCCGAAATATAAATCTGTTTTTTAATCAAATTGGGGTTCCATAGGCGTAGCGGCACTCTAGATAAGACGTGTTTATTATACTAACATATTTTCTTATGGACATCATGCTCAGGATCTTTATGATTGGGTCATCATAAGGAAAACAGCAGAATTCTTGATGATTTAAAAAAAAACAACACAAAACTCTTGGTCGCAGTTGTCTCTGTTAACCAGAACTATATTGTCTACGCATCGGACGAATATATAGCGCCTGTGACGTTGGTCGTAGGAACGCAAATTATACACGTCAAAATGTATACAACTATTCGCTGAACAAAAAATGATTTAAAATGCAGACAGGAAGCTTATAATTATTTTCAAGAAAAGCTCAGTTCAATAGAATAAATATGCAGCAAACCGATTAACTACGTGACATTTTCCTCTGGTACTTCTGTGTGTATCCTTTTATTGACGGTTTGGGGAGCTATTTCACCAACATTGTCCTACTAATTATGGTTGGAAGGACAACGGTAACGGTTACTTTATTCCACATTGGTTTGATGGTGAAAGTCTACCACAGAAGGTGAATACCGATGATGAAAAGATAGCTGAAACAGTAGACGAGGGTACAGAAATTAGAGAAGATAGTGCTGAAAATTACGGAGATCATGATGCAGTTAATTTTATTGAAGGAGAGTATGATGCAGACACCGATATTGAAGAAGATCTCAATGTCGATGATATGCTTTTTGAGGATGGTGAACAATCCGACGATGCTTGGTCTGATGATAGTGAGAGCGAAGATGATGTTGAAGATGATGATGAAGATGATATTTAAACGAGGTTTAAATTATGTATGACGGTGATCGTAACTATTGATGTCCATGTTACCAGGAAAAGATTGGTCGTACATGGAATATATAGAAGACCATGGTATATATAGGAGAGTAACACTTTGGTTTAGATAATATAGCTACACTGCCATTTATGCCCTGCCATCGTAATTTTGCAGTAGGAGATACTTTAACATTTTGTGAATTTATAGCCTTATCAGGCACCCAATTTCATGAGGATGGAGCCTATTACGTAATCATCACTGGCGACACTTCCGGTCAGTGTAAAATTGCTGTCGTTTGTATTTTTGTAGTGTATATACATATTTTAACATTGTATAAAAAAATCAGCCATCCCTCTCAATGTATGATTATATATGAGGGTGGGGCCTATTACATAATCATCACTGGCGACACTTCCGGTCAGTGTAAAATTGCTGTCATTTGTATTTTTGTAGTGTATATACATACTTAAACATTGTGTAAAAAAATCAGCCATCCCTCTCAATGTATGATTATATCGGATGCCTCATACCTGATGTCATGTTGTGGTATTTAACTGTCACTGTCGCCTCTTCCGGTCAGTGTGAAATTGCTGGCAATAATGTAGGAATGTTTGGAACCGTGTAATGAATCATATTCAAAAAGTTTTACCCATCCCTCACTTAGTATGAATAAATGAATTTTGGACAGCACTTGACCTTTGCTGACTAGTAGGCATTGACAAACAATTATGCCCTATCAGACAATTTCCCTCTCTTAGTATGATTAACTGAAGCAGGCGCCCGGTCTATTACGCCTTCGAAAACCCAGAAAACGGAGGCCATGACCTTGCCACTGGAAGAGGTTTTTTTTTAAAAGCAGATAGAGTTTACAGTTTTTAACGAATTGGTTTAAAGCACTGTGAACGCGATAGAGGCTACAGTTTTAACGGAATTTTATCAAATTTGGAGGGAAGGAATGGGGTCACGAGAGGATACACCTAGCAATATTCAACATTCTGTGACTTTCCATTCCGGAGTTATCCTCCATTGCCAAAGACCTGGTGAATGCGATACTTTAAAATTGGCTGGAAAGCATTAGGGTCATGAGAGGATGAACCCTTTTCATATTCAGTGTTCTGTGACATTTCGTTCCGGAGTTCCCCCGCCCCTTACCATAAACCTAGTGAACGCGATAGAGGCTACAGTTTTCAAATTTGGTGGCAAGCATTGGGCCTTATGAGATGATGAACCCTATCGATATTAAGCGTTCTGCCACTTTTCGTTTGTTCAACATCCAAGTTTTCCCCTAACCCTAGCTGCAATTGAGACAAAGTGTTGTGTGGACGTATCCACCCTTTGATATTTAAAATACACGGGAACAATCTCGCTTGTCGTGTCTGTTAGTTTTAAGAAGTATTTATTACATTCAGAGGCGGATTCAGGGGGGGGGGGGGCCTTTTTTACTGCTGAAAGTGCCCGTTGCAGGGATCCCAAATGACCCAAACCATCGATTCAAACACACCAGTCTGGTCTAATTAATGCTTCCACTCTCAAACGAATTCTTGTTGTTTAGCTGACGGTGCCCTAATCCTATAGAGTGACTATAGACAGACATCTTGTGGAATCGGCGGCGTATACACTCATGCCCATCACCGAAGCGCATGAGTGCAACTTGATGTAGTAATGTTTCATGTGTGGACAGCACAAAGTACAAGTTACAAGGCTTAAATAGTGATGTGGCTTGGGAATAGATTCGTCTTTTTCCCCCTCATAATGCCTCGCTCGCCTTGACAATTTTCGAGTCGCATGCTCAACTGGCTTTTTTGCTCGATTTTAAGGCTCTTTTTGAACGATTTCCGAACGTTTACTTAGACGAAAATATCAGCCAAATAGCTCTTGGAATGGCTACAGATGCAAGGAAATGACGGATAATTTCTTGGGGGGAACCCCCCTCCCCCCCGAAAAAAAATCCCCTCTCAGCGGCGTGCCCCGTCTCCGCGGTCAGTGCCCTCATTTTGCGGCCCCCCCCCCCTTTTAAAATTCCTAGATCCGCCCCTGACATTATATATAAAAATCGGGCATTTTTCTTTTCTATTTTTAACTGTATATGGCTGTGCGAAACATTCACGACGGTGAGTCATTTTAACTCTTGATTGGTATATAGTAATTAGCTGTTAAGTAGCTGTTAAGTACACGTTTACAAATAATGTTTGTATGTCCGGATAACAACATCACTAAGTCTAATGTTTCAAGAATTATAATAATGAACAACGTTTGACGTCACGATAGTTACCACACATTTGTAATAAAGAAATCTATTTTTAAATATGACTTAGATACACAATATAGACATGTAGGACTGCGAAGTGATTGTATATTAACGATTCAATAGCCAGTTAATCTTATAGTGATTTTTTTAAGAAACATTTAATTATGTTATTGACTGCAGGCGTATTACAGTATCGCCTTTTGTCTAATTATAATATTTAATTTATTCAAGCCAGCATACACCAGCGATTGTTATGCTCAGATCAGATGGGCGATTATGATAAAATGAATAAATAAGAATAAAATAGACAGTTAAAAAACCGTATAAATATTAATTTTAACCAAATATATGCCATTCTGAATCATTTTAATGCAGGAGTTTTGTTTTGCTGTCCATTAACTGATATGTGGGTATACCCATAGAAACTCTATATACAACTCTATTGGGTATACCCTATTTCACTGTTTGCTACACTTATTTATGTCAACTCTGGTGTATTATAAAGTCTGCATTTGGCACATGAATATAGAAGCTTGATGTGGGCGAGATCTAATTGATAAGGCCAACTTCAAGTTTGCTCAAAGATTACGAGGTGTAAACAAGGCTAGTAGCTCTAATCCCAACCCTAACCCTGGACCTAGCCCTAATGCTTAGCCTAACCCTGACCTACAATCTCGCCAACAATCACGTGTCCTAACCTTATTTATATCTCAGCGACCTTGGTGAAAATTGAGCTGGCCTTAACAAACAGATTTAGCCCTTGACGTGATTATTCCTTTTATAAGCCCACATATTTATATAATAGTCGCAATCCGTTTGGTAATAGCAACGCGTTCGGTAATAGTTACCAAATTTGCTATTACAATTCGTAATGAGTTGTCGTAACTTTCCCTATACAGGGCTTTGTCTAGTCCTATCGTTCATCAATTATTCACATTTTTCTTGCACCTGCCTGTAAACCATATAATTGTAACATAGATCAGAATTTAAAATAAATGGTAATGAGAATGAGTCCTGTTGAAAGTCATCGTGGTGCATTATTTATTTGCAAAGTTATCGATCCTGTCATCAGATCTTGTCATCGCCCCAAAAGAACGAAGATTTTTGTGAAATGTTATATTAATATTAAAACAGCGGTTTTCGGTAAATAACTGTTTCGTTTAACAGGTCTTTTAGTTTTGTTTTAACATCAGTATTCCGTGTTGTGGGTTATTTATTATGTGGACGCGTTATTGCGTCTGATTAAACACAGATCCTATTTCGTTTTGTTTTTTATAGTTCAAAATTTCGTTTTACTTGTCTTTACTACACAAGGATCCGGAAGAGTTGTTATATAACCCGCTTAGTGGTTAATGTGAGGGATTAGCCAATGAAACGGTCTGTTTCAGTGAGTTCTTGGCGTGCGATGCACAGAACTGTGGGTATCCTACTAGAAACATCAACGCTGATTGGTTAATCAAATGTCTGACGTCATGGGGTCAAAGGTCGCTCGTATGACCCCTGACGTGACCTTTCACTCAAACCGGTCAATTCTTTATGTAGTGTAGGCCATCGAATTATAAAAAAAAAACGAAATATAAATCTGTTTTTTAATCAAATTGGGGTTCCATAGGCGTAGCGGCACTCTAGATAAGACATGTTTATTATACTAACATATTTTCTTATGGACATCATGCTCAGGATCTTTATGATTGGGTCATCATAAGGAAAACAGCAGAATTCTTGATGATTTAAAAAAAACAACACAAAACACTTGGTCGCAATTGTCTCTGTTAACCAGAACTATATTGTCTACGCATCGGACGAATATATAGCGCCTGGGACGTTGGTCGTAGGAACGCAAATTATACACGTCAAAATGTATACAACTATTCGCTGAACAAAAAATGATTTAAAATGCAGACAGGAAGCTTATAATTATTTTCAAGAAAAGCTCAGTTCAATAGAATAAATATGCAGCAAACCGATTAACTACGTGACATTTTCCTCTGGTACTTCAGTGTGTATCCTTTTATTGACGGTTTGGGAAGCTATTTCACCAACATTGGACTATTTGTACACTGTGCGATGGTGTAGGTATTAAAGATTGTTCATTTGGAAAGAACGAATCATATAGCAATTCAGAATTGTTACTTTCGAAAATACATCAAATTCATGTTCGTTTTCTCCACCCATGTTGACAGGGTTTTTCATCTGGAACCCAATCGAAAACCAGAGTCGTTGATCAGTTTTACAGGGTTAGTAACATATTTTGCATGTACCGAAAGCGAATGACACAATGGAAGTTTACTTCGGTTAATGGCGACGTTTCGACGAGTAGTAGTTTATAGTAGCTTTAGTTGTTTAACGCCTGCTTCCACAAAAGTTATATCGAAGACGTTTCGACGAGAGTTTTGTGGTCTATATCAAGCAGAGAATGACAACCACATCAGTAGTAGTACTGTAATTAGTTCATTTACGTCTGGGGGATTGGATGGTCGAATGGTTAGCACGTGTGCGCTGTATCATAAGGTCTGTCATTGTGTCATGTGGCGTGGTTTCGATTCCCCGGTTGTAGGTGACAAGGATTAGGGTCGCCTGTCCAGCCTCGTGGGTTTTCTCCGGGTCCTCCGGTTTCCTCCAACTACTAAAGACCCCTACGTACAAGCGAATTATTGGAATATTGTTGAACCATGTGTTAGTCACGAAATGACCTAGTTTGTGTGGAGTGGACGTTAAATCCTAGTTCTCTCCCTCTCTCATTAACAACTGCTTCCACAAAAGTTAGATCGCAAACAAGACCTGATGGTTGGATGGCTGAATGGTTAGCGTGCGCGCGCTGTAACATAAAGCCTGTCATTGAGTCGACTGGCGTGGTTTCGAATCCCCGGTTGTACGTGACAAGGAGTAGGGTCGCCTGTCCAACCTCGTGGGTTTTCGCCGGGTCCTCCGGTTTCCTATTACTGCTAAAGACCCCTACGCGCAAGCGAATTATGTAAATAAAATTAAACCATATGTTAGTCCCGAAATGATCTAGTTTGTGTCGAGTGGACGTTAAACCCCATTTCTCTCTCTCTCTCTCTCTCTCTCTCTGCAAACAAGACCTAGGAGAGCAGAGGCTTCCTCTTGTAAATTAGAATGACTTTGCAATCTTTCCATTAGCGGCTTCTGGTCAGGAGTTGTTTACTTTGATGTTCTTCTCTTTATTAATAAAAACTTAGCGTTTGGTATTGGATCATTATAATAATAATAATACTTTATTACATATAGCATTAAGTTAAACAACTTATAGCTTTAAATTATACAATAATACAAGACGTGTAATTAAAAAGAAAAAGAAAAAAAATAATAATAGTTATTCACAAACAATAAATACTATATATACAATCAAATTAACTTTCAAGTTTAGGAAGGTAATGATGTACGTTAAGCAAAAGCGAAATATATAAATTTAGCTATAGATATAATAAGTTTTTGATCAGTTGACGACATCAAAGAGACAAATTTATAGATATTTGGACTAGTATAATACTTAGATGGTAAATACAATTCTCTTAAGGCATTAGAGATGACATTGATGACAACCATGGTTGGAATTAGGTTCTTTAACGTCTGCTTCCACTAAAGTCATATCGCTTCCACTATGACAAACATATTACACTGAATATATATATACACATATAGAGAAGTCATAGGGACGTGAGACGTCATATTTTATATCAATGTTGTATTATTGCCCCCTGTGTCTACATACTTACCTATCAATACATACCCATATAATCAAAGTTTTCTTTGTGTATTTATAATAACTATTCAACCCTTGTGGCTTAGTGAGTAAGTCGCTGGCTTGCTAACCGGGAGATCTCGGTTTCGCTCCTGGTGTTCCTATCAGTGGTGCACGACGGAGGGCCTAACAAGGGTCAGTGTCTAGTCGTTCGGATGGAACGGAAAACCGAGGTACCGTGAACACATTGGCGTTCACGTAAAAGAACCCCTAACAGTTGGAATTCGAAATAAAAGTAGGCCGTAGTGCCGCAGTCCGGGCAAATTTTTCCTCGTAGCGCATGCCCGTCTTCATTAGCCCAGTCGGTGCAGAGAAGTAAACCCCAATTCATTTGCATTATAAACGTACATACGGGTTGTGTCCCGAAAGTTTTCGGCCTCCCTAATCGATCTCTATAATAAATGGTAAAATTACTTTTCAACATAATCCCCACCTCTCGCCTGAAAAGAATGCAATTGTTACACCGTATCTCGAGCATATTTAACCCATCAGAAAACCTGTTTGTCACGTGACCCCCAACTCTCCAAGAAGTGGTGGCCTCATCATTCGCCTCAAATGTGCGACCCCTGGGGATCAGCTGGATCTGGAGAATAGGCTTTGAGAGGGGGGATCTGGAATCCACTGCCCACTGTTACATGGCCGGTTGGAACTGCAGCATTGCCCTGGACCAGCCAGACACCGGCGAAGTTTACCTCGGTGCTTTTCTTTGATATGGTCATGCAACCTGCGCAATTCATCTGCGTAATATGCACCCTACTTTAGATAATCCATCACGTTTACGCCCTCGGAATCCCAGAAAATGGGGGCAATAATCTTGCCACTGGTAGGGTGCCCCGTGGCCGAAACTTTTCCCTACTAAAAGTTGTACTCGACACGTTGAATGTGCACGCTCCAGTGACGTAACTCTAATTGATTTCAGACGAGTCTCGGACTCTCTTTGTGTCTATAAATAGCCACAGCACGTGAAATTCTCAATACTTGTAATAACTATTACAGACGTAAAAAATCTATTGTTGACGATTCTGAATAGCAGTAATATTTAGCTTTTTGGTTATTACTGCAGCTTTAGAAATTACGCTCGTTTTATTTTTTAAATTGCT